GTTTGTTTTTCAAAGCGAGAAAGGTAATTTCCATAGGCATAAAGTGTTCATCAATTTGTGTGTGGGCTGTGATACTGCCCGGGTGCCCAAACCGAAGCAGGTGGTGGTTATCTTAGGGGGCTACTCCCCGAGCCTTTGACCTAAAGGTCTAACCCACAAGGCAGTGGAGCATCGTAAGGAGATGCAGTCCCATGGTAGCCGGTGACCAACGATTGGTTCATACGCCATTTGTTCCCGCAGGATCCTGGAGCTCATGTGCACCATTGATTTGGAATCCGGTTAAAGCGCCGGACATTCGCTTTTCGTCCTCTCATTTTCGTAAACAACACCTCCGCCATGAGAAGGCAGTGAGTAGGACTTCCCTCTGGTATACGCGTGGCCGTGTGAGAGTATTGCGAAACTTCATGTTTAAGTAAGGCATTTAAAATCGACTGGTGAGGTAGTGAATTTTCATCAACTGAGGTGACTAAAACACATGCACAATCACTACTTACTTCGACTCATGATAGTGGGTGGTGTAGGGTTAGGTTTGAAGAATGCTAGAGGTTACTTGCCCCCAAATGCCCTGGTACGGCCGACAGTGGGGAGAGTCCGCTCTCCCTCTCGAAATGCTCTCACATGGCCACGCGTATATAGCCTCTGCCAGGGAAGTCCTACTCACTGCCTTCTCGTGGCGAGGGTGTTGTTTACAAAAATGAGAGGACGAAAAGCGAATGTCCGGCGCTTTAACCGGATTCCAAACCAATGGTGCACATGGGCTCCAATATCCTGAAGGGACAAATGGCGTATGAACCAATTGTTGGTCACCGGCTTCCATGGGACTGCATCTCCTTACGATGCTCCACTGCCTCGTGGATCAGACCTTCAGGTCGGAGGCTCAGGGAGTGGCCCCCTAGGCAATCCACCTGCTTCGGTTTGGGCACCCGGGCAGTATCACAGCCCTCACACTATCGAATGAGATTTGTGTGGCGCATATGTATTTGGTGCCTCCTTGTACCAATATTTATGTGTTAAAATAATAATAATAATAATAATAATAATAATAATAATAATAATAATAATAATAATAATAAAGGTTACTTACTTACGCCTGTTACTCCCAATGGAGCATAGGCCGCCGACCAGCATTCTCCAACCCACTCTGTCCTGGGCCTTCTTTTCTAATTTCATCCAATTCTTGCTCATTTTCCTCATGTCTATTTCCATTTCCCGGCGTAATGTGTTCTTTGGTCTTCCTCTTTTCCGTTGGCCTTCAGGATTCCATGTGAGGGCTTGTCTTGTGCCGCAATTTGGTGCTTTCCTCAATGTGTGTTCTATCCACTTCCAGCGCTTCTTCCTGATTTCTTCCTCCGCTGGGATCTGGTTTGTTCTCTCCCACAGTACGTTGTTTTTAATAGTGTCCGGCCAACGGATCTGAAGTATTTTGAGTAGACAACTGTTAATAAACACCTGTATTTTCTGGATGATGGCTTTCGTAGTTCTCCAGGTTTCTGCCCCATACAGTAGAACTGCCTTGACATTTGTATTGAAAATCCTGACCTTGGTGTTGTTTGACAGTTGTTTTGAGTTCCAAATGTTCCTCAGTTGTAAATATGTTGCTCTTGCTTTGCCGATCCGCGCCTTCACATTTGCATCAGATCAACCTTGTTCATCAATGATGCTGCCCAAATATGTAAAGGTTTTTACATCTTCCAAATCTTCTCCGTGAATTGTGATTGGATTGGTGCATTGTGTGTTGTATCGGAGAATCCTGCTTTTCCATTTGTGTATATTGAGACCTACTGCTTCTGAGGCTGCTGCCACACTGTTCTTCTTCTCCTGCATCTGTTGTTGCGTTTGGGATAGAAGGGCCAGATCATCTGCGAAGTCTAGATCGTCCAACTGCATCCTAGATGTCCACTGTACCCCGTGTTTCCCTTCAGATGTTGACGTCTTCATGATCCAGTTGATCACCAGGAGAAAGAGAAAGGGTGAGAGTAAGCAACCTTGCCTAACACTGGTCTTCACTTCGAATGACTTTGTCAACTGTCCTCCATGCACGATTTCGCAGTGTAATCCATCTTATGAATTCTGTATGATATGGACTATCTTCTGAGGCACGCCTTAGTGTCGAAGAAGTTCCCATAGTGTTGTTCTGTCCACCCTATCAAATGCCTTTTCGTAGTCAATGAAGTTGATGTAGAGTGATGAATTCCATTCAATTGATTGTTCCACAATGATTCGTAGAGTTGCGATTTGGTCTGTACACGATCTATCCCTACGGAATCCTGCCTGTTGGTCTCGAAGCTGAGCGTCTACGGAGCCCTTCATCCTGTTTAACAATACCCTGTTGAAGACTTTTCCCGGTATTGAAAGAAGAGTGATGCCCCCGTAGTTATCACACTTGCTGAGATCGCCTTTCTTCGGTATTTTGATCAGGAGTCCTTCTTTCCAGTCTTTTGGTACTTGTTCCTCATCCAAAATCTTACTGAAGAGAGTGTGGAGTATCCTTGCAGTTGCCACTACGTCTGCTTTTAGTGCCTCTGCTGGAATGTTCTCTGGTCCTGCTGCTTTGCCACTCTTGATTTGTCTGATGGCCATGCTGATTTCTTCAATTTTCGGTGAGCCAACATTGATTGGGAGGTCAGTGGGTGCTGCTTCGATGTTGGGTGGGTTCAGTGGAACTGGTCGACTCAAGGGTTCTTTGAAGTGTTCTACCCACCTGTTTTGTTGCTCTTCAATGTTGGTGATTACCTCGCCTTCCTTGCTCTTCACTGGTCGTTCTGGTTTGCGGCGATTTCCAGAGAGTTTCTTTGTCGTGTCATACAGTTGTCTCATGTTTCCTTCTCTTGCAGCCTTTTCCGCCGTCGTTGCTAAATCTTCCACATATTTACGTTTGTCGGTTCTGATGCTCCTCTTCACTTGTTTGTTTACTTCTGTGTATTCAGCTTGTGCCTTGGCTTTTTCTGCTCTTGTTCGACTGGTATTGATTGCTGCCTTCTTGTTCCTCCTTTCTTGAATCTTATTCAGTGTATCAACAGTGATCCATCCCTTGTGATGGTGCTTCTTGTGACCCAGGACCTCATGACATGTTGAAGCGATTGCCTCTTTTATCTCCTTCCAGTTGCTCTCCACAGTAGTTCCTTCTCCAATGAGTAGATCATGATTGGCCTGGAACTCGTTGCTGAGGACTATCGTGAATTTGTTGAGTTTGTCAGTATCCCGAAGAAAGGCCGTATTGAACTTTTGTGATATTGTCCGCCCCGTTGTCCAGTGCTTCTTGAGTTTCAATTTCGTCTTGGCGACCAGCAAGTGATGATCTGATGCTATATCAGCTCCTCTCTTGGTTCTCACGTCCTCTATAGTCCTCCTGAACGTTTTGTTGATGCATATATGGTCAATTTATTTTTGCGTGGTGTGATCCGGTGAAGTCCATGTGGTTTTGTGTATGCGTTTATGTGGGAATATGGTGCCGCCTATGACCAGCTTATTGAAGGCACATAGATTTGCAAATCTCTCACCATTTTCGTTCCTTTCTCCCAGTCCGTGTCGTCCCATGATGTCTTCATATCCAGTGTTGTCCGTTCCAACCTTGGCATTGAAATCTCCCATCAGAATGGTCAGGTCCTTTGTTGGGCACTTCTCGATGATTGACTGCAGCCTATTGTAGAGTTGATCTTTAGCGTCTTCATTGTAATCGTTGGTAGGCACATAGCATTGGATGATGTTCATTGAAATGCCCTCTTTCTTTGTTTTGAAGGAGGCTTTGATGATCCTTGGTCCATGAGATTCCCATCCTATAAGTGCCTTTTGTGCTTGTTTGGACAGCATCAATGCAACTCCTTGTGTATGTGTAGCATTTTCTTCTTCATGGTCGGAGTATAACAGGAGTTCTCCTGAAATTAGTCGTTGTTGTCCAACTTGCGTCCAATGTGTTTCACTGATCCCAAGTACCTCTAGGATGTATCTTCTCATTTCTGAAGCAATTTGGAAGGCTCTCGCGGTGTCCCACATTGTACGAACATTCCATGTACCTAAATAAATGGTTGCTCTGGTTGTCAGAAGGAGCATCGGCCTCGTGGCTTCCGAAGGAATTCGGCTTTCATCATGAGGCGTCATAGTTCTTCTAAATGAAGACTTTCTGACTCCCGGGGCAGAGTTTAAGTGGTTTGAATATTTTTTTCTGGTTAGCGTTTTTTAGCGAGTTAGTTTTCTACGGGATGGGGACGCTAACCCCATGCCCAACCCTCTTCCTTTATCCGGGCTTGGGACCGACAGTAGTCCCCGGAGGGACTTCAGGCAGAGTTAATGCTAAAAGTAGTCAACTAAAAATGTACCATCAGTTCATGAATTCGTTGACTGTTGAACTAAGTTGTGTTATTAGGGGCAAACTACCTGGTTGGGATGCGCATGATTATTGTATCTAGTGGTTGGAGATGTTGGGTGACATAGCTCAGAGAACGTTCGCACTAAGATAGATGCATTCACTTTTTGCTTTACTCTACATATCGACTTTTATAATTGTTTTATACATTTTATTCCACTGATTCTTCTCGAATCACATTGCGTATATCTAGTTTTTTTTCTATTACTGATGTTACTACTTTTGCTGCTCTGCTTTTTGTTTTGGCAGTTTCATGCCGCTTTTGTGATACGGTGTAGCAACTTGAAGTGATCCCCACATGTGCCAAATTCTACGTTGCTTATGACTAACTGACTGACTTTTAGCTGTCTTATATTTTTGGTTCATAACCTCAGTCGGTCAGTCAAATGCAACATGGAACTGGAACCTGGCACCCATGTACATCGGTTCAAGTTGCCATACTCCATTAGCACAACGAAATTAAACTTTCAGGACAAATCGCAGAATAGTAGAGGTAGTAACAATATTAATGCTATTAGATCATAACTTAGTTTGTAGTTATATCCGTAGTGCTTACCGAGTTGCATTACTCACATATTTAATGCACATTGACCAAAATAAAAATTTATAATTAAAAAAATGCCTTTTTTAAAATTAGGCGGTGATATGTGCAATTAAACAGGCACACATTGGTGGTATTACTCATTTGGGAATAGTTACTGATAGTAAATTCGCTCAAAACTGTGCAACCGAATGGGGTCAACGATGGGCGCGAAATGCTTGGAAATTAGCCAATGGTGAAGATGCTAAATTAAAAGAACCAGTTAAACGGTTACTTGGAGTTATCGCTGAATCAGGAATTGAAATAATTTGGGTAAATTGTTTTGCTTTTTAGTGTGGATTCGCTTTCTTCCTCTTAACATAATTATGAAGTAATCTTGTTATAGACTATAGCGTTATATCATTTATTGAGTAATATGGATAATCTTGTGTATCCTTTATCATTTACTATCTTTGTCAGTGTTTGTGGGAATAATCAGCATCAACTATTTGATATGTCGGATCGTACTACTGTTGATGTTACCATTGTTTATATTTATCCAGTTGATCCCATCGATTTTTATCTCGTAAAAGTTATTCATGTGATATTTGAAAACAGATAATATGTTTTTAGTGCTTACAGAAAGGCTGTATATGACCAAACTCACGTAGTTTTTATTTGAGCTCTGAGGTTAAGCTCCCAGGTCGTTAAGATCACCTCTAACCCAGTTTCTATTTCAGATACTCATCACGGTATTGCCATTGGGGCTTATAGCGCCTCTGTTACACCTTTGTTTACGTTTAGTTTTGCCAAGTCCTTCACTTAAATAACAGATAGTGCTATTCGAATAGTAACAGTTTGATATCTTGGTATTATTATTATTATCACGTCTGTGTGAAAGTATATACGTAATCGCATGTGACAGCTTACGTACATATCCCTATTTCTAGCTTAAATGTTAATTGCTTAAATTGCTCGATGCATCATTCGCTTTCCTACATATATGTGCTAGAATCTTATTAATTCATTCGATTCTTTATTCACCTGAGAATTCGCCCGCATTAGCACTTGTGCTCGAATTCACTTGATGTACTTGTGGCTCAATGATCTGTGCTATTCAACGGTAAACTGTGATCGGCGCTTCGTGTTGCCTTCTTAAATTCGCACACCATTGGAATTTATTTAATAACGGTTATCAGGACGATTGATATGCGAAGCCTAAGGAATTATCTCGATGATAATCCGCTATAGGCTAACGTACATACTTGCCAAGTTCTGTGTTGATGATGATTTACTTACTGATGTATTTGGTGTTTTAAGACAATCAGTTGAAAACACTATGTTCTATGCCTATTGGGACTCATCATCTAGCCGTTCGTACTCCTAAAGAAATCTGTACTTCTCTCGAAATTTGAACTTTGCTTAACAGTCAAATATTTTAAGATTTAGCAGTTCAAGCCACAATAAACTTATGGAGTCGGCATTTCTACAATGATTGGTGATTGGATTTGATAGTTAACAAGGTGATCTCGAGTACTGTATGTGGAAGTTTTTCATTTCAAGTTGCTCACACCATGAGTGGATACTTCTTAAAGAAATTAGATTAGTAGTGGTTTTAGAGACCTGCAAAAGTGACTACAGACCCCGAGGGACAATTGCTTAATGGCAGGTCACTTGCGGGTACTATGAAAGCCTTACCTTCAACGTCGGGATCAGTGTAGTAAGATGGAATGTACTGCTTTTAGGACCGATCTTTTGTAATTTTTTCCTTCCATTGCGAGAAGGTAACACCTTCGTAGGTGTTGGTTTTCTAAGGAAAACACTCTACTAAACTAAATATCTGAAAAATATAAATGAATATATTTCTCTATACATTGACGTAACTTAACAAGTAACCATATGCATTTTATTAGGATTTCATAATTTATCATTAATTCAATAGTTAATCAAATAATCAGATCAACCATAAATTTCTTGCTTGAACTGCTTCAATACGTACATTTTGATTGGGATCATCAACTAATTGATCTAAGAATGGTAGAATATTGACATCACGATGACGACTAATCAATTGTTCCGGGAATAATTTTATAATGCTGCACAGACAACGAGCGATAATTAAACCTGAATAAGTTAAAATATTGATATTTCGTTCGTTTTCCTGATCAAACATTACAGTATCGTTAATCTCCTGACAGTAGTCACAACTTTATCCTGCCAACAGTATGTGAAGAGTAGTGATGCTACTACTTGACTTTTCAAATCAAAGTAGGTGAAATGAGATTAGAATTTACTTGTTATTGATTGGAAGCTAAGGTATTTATAATAACTAAATCGCCATCGCTCCACAAAAATGTATTAATCACATTTATCTGGTTAACTAATTATAATGTTCAATATGATAATGTTTTTTTTCTTTTAATTATCTAAGCAATGTTGACTACTTACATGCAAAGCCAGTTATATGTTGTTGTTAATTGATTGATTGATCAGTAGAGTTAATTTAGTCACACAATCTTTCCTAATATATCATTCGAAGGTATCGAATAGAATCTCGTCGAAATATTTTATCGTAAATATGTTAACCGAAAGAAAAACATGTATACACAATACTGTGTTTTAAATTCCCACTCCGTATTCACATCTTTTCCATTATTTGACATAGATGGCTATGAACAAACGAACTTAGTATTTACAATTGCTCGACCACTGAGTAGTGACTGATGTTACCTATTTCAAGTCCTTTTCAGTGCTGATCAAATCCTATCAATCAAGTTACAATCTGGCCACTAATCTGAATGACTCGATTGTTCCATTGTTCTCCCTTGTTCCATTCGAGTAATGGGGTTAGGTAGGGTTGCCCAATCTCACCATTCCTCTTCAACTTTGCCTGGAGAAAGACTTCTCGACCTTGAGTATGCGGACGATATTGTGTTACTGTGCGATAATGCCCAAACCATGCAATCCGCACTTAATCAGTTGGCAATCAGTGTCCGTAGGTATGGTATGTGCTTTGCACCTTTGAAGTGCAAAGTACTCCTACAAGACTGGCAGGATTCTAATCCTGTACTCACCCTGGATGGTGAGCAGATAGACGTAGTTGAGAAGTTCGTGTATCTGGGTAGCTGCATAAGTGCTGGTGGGGGTGTGAGTGATGAGATCAATGCACGAATAGTGAAAGCCAGAGCGGCTTATGCCAATCTGGGCCACCTTTGGCGCCTTCGTGATGTTAGTCTGGCTGTAAAAGGCCGGATCTACAACGCGTCGGTGAGAGCAGTTTTACTCCATGCTTGTGACACCTGGCCTCTCCGAGTTGAGGATGTTAGACGACTCTCTGTGTTTGATCATCGTTGTCTCCGAAGGATTGCCGGCATCCAGTGTCAACACCATGTTAGTAATGCAGAGGTTCGGCATCGTGTGTTTCGGGCACAGAGACGATAATGCAATTGGTGTCACCATCTTGAAACACCGACTTCAGTGGCTTGGACATGTTCTCCGAATGTCGTCCCAGAGAATTCCACGTCGTGCATTATTTGCCGACTCTGGGACTGGTTGGAAGAAGCGGAGAGGTGGTCGGTGCATGACATGGTGTCGTGGCATGAAAGGAAGCTGCAAAGGACTTGTTTGTGTTGGTCCTTCACGACTCCCTGGTTGGGGTCTGAGAGATTGTGCTACACAGTGGCTAGAGACGTTATCAGATATGGCTCAGAATAGAAGCCAGTGGCGATCCTGCTGTAACCTTCTTTTACTTACTCCATAAAAAGTGGTTGTAACTTCCTTAACTGAAAGACTTCTTCTGGTTGTTCCTTTCTGTTTCCCCCATTATTATTATTATTGTTATTATTTCACTACCATACACTAATCTGTAGTCGTTATTGTTCTTTTTTTTTACGCTCCTTACCCTCTTGTTTTTCTCTTCCCATTTCCATTGTTTTGTGTGGCGCATATATATTTGCTGCCCCCTTCTACCAATATTTATGTGTTTAATCTGAATAATAGATAATCCATTTCATCATTCCTTATATTTCAAATCCTTCATTAACATGCTAATTTTTCTGCAAAATGGTTTATAAGTGTGATTTCGTATGTAACAAGTGTCAAGTCATTTAGGTTATCAGTCAAGAACAGTTTTCATTTTTGATAGAAAAAGCCTATTCTTCCAGGGTAATGATCTTGTCTTCTTATATCAACTCGTTTAAGTGTTTTAGTCAACAATTTTATGTTTTTTGTAATCAATACTAGGCCATATTACACCATTGCATTTCACTATGCCGACCGATATTTTATTTCAATTTATTTTCACGATGTTAAACTTCGCTTGTTCATCGAACTGTCCTCTATGATAAATTTATGGGGAATTGGAATGAGCAAGTATGTGTGTGTGTGTGTGTGACTAGAAAACTTCTACCCACTTTATGTCTAGTACGCGCCCCAAATATTTCCTGTTATTTCATTGCTTCTCCCTTTGTTTCTCAATTCGTTTTTTCTCTATTCTAATTCAGTACCATGTTCGTGGTCATCAAGGTGTACACGGTAATGAAGAAGCAGATTCGTTGGCTAATATTGGTTCTAGTAAACCATTACCAAAGAAATAAACAAACGAGCAAACGCGCGCGAGAGAAATCGTTCAATTTTTTGTTGTAAATGGTGAAAAAGAAGCGAAATCTATTCATGTTTAATAAATCTATGCATAAATCATATGCCACACTAATCTTTTGTTTTGATTTTTTTTATCTCACCCTCTGTTTGTTTTGTGAGTTTTCGTCTGGTTCTTTTTTATTTATATTACTGATTGTGAATCAAATCTATTCTTGTCATGTGGTATGACTGGTTGGTTCATTCATTGAGTTCTGTTATTGTGAAATATGTATTTATCTATTTATTTATTCACACATTTACCATGTATAGAATATAGTTAACTTTGAGTTATATTCTAAGTGTGTGGGGCTATTGATACTAACTCTGGTTGATAAAAACCAAAATGTGTTGTGGTTGGGTTCTGCATTAATCGCTGGACAACCGTTAAGCTTGTCTTGTGCTGATAGAATTCTATCGATCAAGACGCTATGTGTGCCGGTCACTAGCAATAGTCTAAGTGACTGGGTATCGTTCGCGTTATGTGTAGAATTTAGGCGGTTCAGTGGTTCGTACTAGTTGTATCTTGTCCATAAGTCCCGTCTACAATTCTGTGGCAACTAATACTCCTTGTGAAGCTCGAACTCGACGAGATCAAGTTCTTTAATGTGAGACGTCAATACTGTGCTATTCAGGCTGCGATTGAGATATGCACGTTGATTGATCACTGAGAAGTGGTCATTGTTGTGTTCTCTATTGCCCTGGTATGACCGAGAGTGTGGTGGACCCCCCCTCCCCCTCGAAATGCTCTCACATGGCCGAGCGTACACAGCCTCTGCCAGGGAAGTCCTACTCACTCCCTTATCACACCACGGGTGTTGTTTACGAAAATGTGAGGACGAAAAGCGAATGTCCGGCGCTTTAACCGGATCCCAAACCAATGGTGGACATGGGCTCCAGTATCCTGCGGGAACAAATGGCGCATGAAGCAATTGTTGGTCACCGGCTACCATGGGACTGCATCTCCTCACGATGCTCTACTGCCTAGTGGATCAGACCTTTAGATCAAAGGGTCGTGGTGTGGCCTAAGAAAACCACCTGCTTCGGTCTGGGCACGCGGACAGTATCACAGCCCTCACACAAATATGATGAACTATCGATAATTATGGAAAATACTTTTCTTGCTTCGATTAATAATCAAACGATTCACATTATTATTATTATTATTATTATTATTATTATTATTATTATTATTATTATTATTATTATTATTATTATTATTATTATTTACTACGTCATTTATTCACTCTCTTTTATTCCCACTCTGTCTATCCTTACTTTTCGACTTAGACAGCAGCTCGTCTATAGTGGAAATTCGACTCTATCTAAACGTTCTCGAGTCACTGTCCGGTTGAAAATTGTATGTTACCATCGAATATGAATACTGAAGCAGTTTTTCTGAAACCACGTGCATCATTCAAACTGGCTGCCTTCAACGTTCGCACATTTATGCAGGTCGGAAAACAGATAGTGCTGGCTATGTCTTTGGAAAGTCTTAATATCAATGTTTGTTGTCTATCCGAGACCCATATTCAAGACTCTGGTGAAGTACTACAAATTCGCTCTTCATCTGTCGCTTCGAAAAGCTTGTATTACGTGCGCTTACCCGGAGACCCTGTGGCATCTTCGTCTGGTCTTGCTGGCGTTGGTGTCGCACTAAGCGCTAGTGCTGAGGCAGCACTAATCGATTGGATCCCCATTAGCAGTCGGTTATGTGCTGTTAGAATAGAAAGTTCCATCAAAGTGAGAAGAAATCGGCGTGAGAAACGATGTCTTTTCGTCATCTTCACGTATGCCTCGACAAATTGCAGCCCGGATGCAATCAAGGATGAGTTTTACCACCAGTTATCTGTTCTTCTCCAGAAAGTGCGTTCGACAGATATTGTAGTACTAGCCGGAGACTTGAATGCTCAGGTCGGGCGTCTAGGCACAGAAGAGAGTCGTTTAGGTGGCCGATGGGGACTCGTTGGTCGCAGGTCAGATAACGGGGACCGTCTACTGCAACTGTGCACAGTCCCGCCTATAAGCACTGGGTTTCTTCAGGCTCCTTACAACTCATCGAAGCCCATCGGTCTACACCGGGTGACCGGGAGTCTGATCACAAACGGTGATCGTCTACTGCAATTGTGCATAGACCACAACATATTTCTGGCTAGCACTAACTTCCGGCACAGTCATCGCCGATGTGCCACATGGCGTCCTTCCTCTGCGTCTCTGGCCTGGACTCAGATTTATCACATTGCGATCAGCTACCGCTGACGTGGTTGTGTACAAGACTGCCGCTCCTTTTGGAGTACCTATCTAGACTCTGACCATGCCTTGGTCTGCGCCAATCTTGCCTTACTTTTCAGTGGCCAACGAAGTGACCACCACCAAAAGATTGATGTTAGCAAGCTGGTTGCAACTTCTGTTGCTAGTAAGTATCGAACCGAGCTAGCCTCTAGGCTAGCTACCACTCCACGGAAAAGTATAGATGAGCATTGGTTGCGACTTCATGACTCCATGAAAATGGCGAGTAAAGTCGCTTGCGGTTTCGCAGAAGGTCTCGCTTATAAGCACGGAATTTCTTCTGGTTCCTTACAACTCATTGAAGCCCGTCGGTCTACTCCGGGTGACCGTGAGTTTGACCATAAACAAAGGATGTTACATAATGAAATCGGGCAAAGCTTGCGTAAGGACCGAGAAGCCTGGTGGTAGGAGCGTGTTAATGAGCTGGAAGCAACAGCTGCATCTGGTAACTACCGGAAGCTCTTCCAACTCATTCGACTTTATGACTAGGGAACTGACGACATTGTTTACAAAGGTCTGGGAGCTAGAGAGTGTACCAACGTCATGGAATGACTCAATAGTTGTCCTTATCTTTAAAAAGGGTTCTCGTTGTTCCTGTAACAAATATCGAGGGATAAGCCTACTCCTGATTGCGTCCAAGCTATTGGCTTCCGTCATTCTTCGTAGGTTGTTCAAAACCCGAGAAAGATTGACTCGCGAGTAGCAGTCTGGTTTTCGTTCTGTTCGAGGATGTATCAATGTTAGAAGACTCTCTGTGTTTGATCATCGTTGTCTCCGAAGAATTGCCGGCATCCAGTGTCAACACCATGTTAGTAATGCAGAGGTTCGGCATCGTGTGTTTCGGGCACAGAGACGATAATGCAATTGGTGTCACCATCTTGAAACACCGACTTCAGTGGCTTGGACATGTTCTCCGAATGTCGTCCCAGAGAATTCCACGTCGTGCATTATTTGCCGACTCTGGGACTGGTTGGAAGAAGCGGAGAGGTGGTCGGTGCATGACATGGTGTCGTGGCATGAAAGGAAGCTGCAAAGGACTTGTTTGTGTTGGTCCTTCACGACTCCCTGGTTGGGGTCTGAGAGATTGTGCTACACAGTGGCTAGAGACGTTATCAGATATGGCTCAGAATAGAAGCCAGTGGCGATCCTGCTGTAACCTTCTTTTACTTACTCCATAAAAAGTGGTTGTAACTTCCTTAACTGAAAGACTTCTTCTGGTTGTTCCTTTCTGTTTCCCCCATTATTATTATTATTGTTATTATTTCACTACCATACACTAATCTGTAGTCGTTATTGTTCTTTTTTTTTACGCTCCTTACCCTCTTGTTTTTCTCTTCCCATTTCCATTGTTTTGTGTGGCGCATATATATTAGCTGCCCTCTTTTACCTGTATTCATGTGTTGAAATAAATAAATAAGTCTGAAAAGTAAATATCTGTTAATCTACGGTATTTACAGTCATTATCCTACAAAGAGGATGTAAAATTAGTCGCGATACCCATGGTTTAAAATTTAACGTGTGAATTCTATTCAAATATCAGACTTTTGTTACAGATTATACATTGTAGATGTTGCTGTCAAATAAATATCGATTGTCTAATAGGAAGATGTAGTTCTGATAGTGTTTGCTTTCTGATTACACTATCAAAATCAATATCTCTTTTAAACTACTTGGCCGAGTTATGGTGAAGAGTGGGGAGAGTCTGCTCTCTCTCTCTACGGATGCTTTCACATGGTCACGTGCATACAACCACTGACAGGGAAGTCATACTCACTGCTTTCTCAAACCAGGGGTGTTGTTTACGAAATTGAGGGAACGGAAACCGAATGTCCGGCGTTTTAACCGGGTTGGTGGATATGGAGGATCCACCTGGTGGAGTTGGGAAACCCTGATTTCAAACTAGTGGTGAACATGGGCTCCAAGATTCTGAGGGAACGAATGGCGTATGAACTAATTGTTGGTCACTGGCTACCATGGGACCGCGTCTCCTGACGTTGTTCCGCTGCCTTTTGGATCAGATCTTTAGGTCGAAGGCTCCGAGTGTGGCTCCCTTAGAAAACCACCTGCTTCGGTTTGGGCACTCGGGCAATATCATAGCTCACATACAAATCAAGTGACTTGCGTGGTGCTCCTTTTACCAATGTTTATGTGTTCAAATCACTAAATCAATTCGTTTCACAGAAATATATTTGACCGGAGTGCACTTCAGCGTAGCAAACTTGTCACTTAATTGACACATTGATATCCCATACGGTCTACAAGTAACGCCAGTTGACCCAAAGCAATTGAGTTCTAGTCGAGATTTCATCAAATACCAACCCACAAGGGCTGACGAGACTTCCAAGATAAGTGCACGGTCAACTAGGGCACTTCCAATAGATTTACTGATACTTTCCCTTTTTTTAACCATTTATAGATGTCACAAATGTTGACAATCGATGTAAAGCCAACCAAATCGTTTCCTGACCAGAAACCAGGTACAAGTGGTTTACGTAAACCAACAAAAACATTTATGCAACATGGGTACACTGAGAACTTCATACAATCTATTTTAAATGCAGCTGTTGGTGAATTGTTGAACAAATCTCAACCAGTTCGACTTCTTTTAGGCGGAGACGGTCGGTATTTTGTACGAGAATCATTACAAAGTATCATTATCCCAATATGTTTAGCTAATGGGGTGTGTTTCCATTTTTTAAAATAAAAATTGTTTGTTTATTGAAGTTTCGTGGGGTTTGGTTTAATTTCCAGGTTGAATTATCTGTCTCGTCGTGCTAATTAAGTATGGAAACTTGGGTCGATGCACGTTTGCACCAGGTTCTATGTTGATGATGTTAGTCTATTTTAATAGACTGATCTCTTTTGTGATACCATTAAGAATCCGATGGACACTGGAAAGCTCCTTCCTCCCAGTACGGGGTTCCACATTGACAATACCAGACATTTACAACCCCATCAGGGATCGAACCCAGTACCTTCGAGTCTTACGACAGATGCTCACCTATTAGGACTACTAGTGACTTCGAGATGTTTCTGAAGTCCCAGGAAGAAGCCGTGACTGGTGGAGTTCAGACACGACTGGAACGAAACTGATGCCAACAACTGTATTGATTGTCCATCTTGTTGATCGAAATTGAAGTTTTCCCATTGAACAACTACCCACTAATTCGAATGGTCAAGTGTCTTTGGGATCGATCCTTAATGGGATTGTGAATGCACACTACTACTGTGGAGTTCTGTACTAAGGTGAAACGGTTGTACAGGGCTTCCTAATTGTCAGTGATTTTCTTAGGTCGGTCTTTGTGATATGATAGGACAAATAGTGAGGAAGTTTGCCTCGTGGGACCATCATACAAAGACCATTACTTATGCTTTTTTATTGTATAATTAGTAGACGCTTGTGTTGTTGTATTTTTATATTATCCTATTTCTAAGCTTTCGTTTAATCTATAAATCATTATCATATGTCTTATTGCTTCAAATTTATCACCGTAAAGTGCTTAAGTCCTATTGTTGGATGGCACTACATATATGGGATTAAGTATTTATGACCTTGAAGAAATGAACACCTTTTAGCAAGGTAACCGTAGACTTTTCTGCTAAGTTATTATAATTTTTGATAAATGGAGTTGAATAAGTGAATTTATCTCTGATTATTTCGAATTCTAATATCAATCATTCTGTCTGCTCATGATGAACCTACTAGTTTAGCCTTGGCTCTAAATTCACTAGTTTTGTATGTTCACTTGTAAATTGAGTAACCGCTTAGACTCATGACTAATAGATAATGCATAATTTATTTCTCACTCTTTTCTTAGGTATCTGAATTGTTTGTTGGTCAAAATGGAATCCTGTCAACTCCAGCTGCATCATTCATAATTCGTAAGCATCAATTGAATGGTGGTATTCTTCTAACAGCTAGTCATAATCCTGGTGGACTAAATGCAGACTTTGGTATTAAGTACAATTGTGGGAATGGTGGACCAGCACCGGAGAAATTAACAGATGCTATTTTTGCACAAAGTGAAAAGTTGACTTCTTATAAAACTGTTAAAGAACCATTAAATATTCAGTTGGACTGTATTGGTTCAACGAAATATACTTTATCCAATGGCGAAACTCCCATAGTAAGTAGTTAATTGTTTCATAGTAGACAATGCTATGTTTCAAACATTTTTGTGTAGTCGGTTTGTTTTGATCGATTGCTACCATAACTACTTTTTGGTAAATCTGGCTTCAGCGTGTTGTTAGACTCCTGTTTTATTCCTGCTAGTTGATTAGTTGATATAGTCATGTTTGATTCACTTTCACTATTATTTTATACGCGTTTTTTTTAATGAGAACTATTCATACCATTATAAATATTTCAAATTTGAATTACAATAACATTCAGTTTTGTTTTGATTAACAGACGTTTAGTTATTCTGTCAGTTCATTTATCTCTGAACTCCTTAATGCTCCAACCTAGTAAGCAAGCGGAAGATATATGAATGAAACCTGGAATTTGTATATACTATTCAGTGGATTCTAGGATTACGTTTTAGTTAACGGGTTCCAACTTCCAACCAATTAAATCGGAGGTTCGAGTTCTGTTCTTTAGCTAATTGGATACTAATCAACTATGGAGTAACACTAACTCCTACACAAAAGCTGAGTAAAACGTAAACATGCACTTGTTAAATAGGTTAAGTGAAAACAAACACTAAGCATAGAAATAGTTTGTAGGTGTTATATTCCCTGAGCTGGATGGTTCAGTCGTGAGGGTTTCATTGTTTCTTTTAGACAACACCATTAGGATTTCTTCACAACTGGCTAACAGTTTGTTCTGTTTACCTAGGAGAATTTGGCTGGCTCTTGTCTCTTTATTGTATAGCCGTCGTTTACATGCTTATGTTGGTCGCTTTCACCCTTAACCTGACCTCTGACCTTGAAGTTGTTTATCCTTTTTCTTACTAATTGATAGATCGGTTCAATCTCGATGTATTGCTATTGATTGGTGCGTAATTAAAGTGTTAGACCCTTGGAAATCTGACTTTATTTATATTCCATCTGTTCAATATTTCGATGTTATCATATTTGGATTCCCATCCTTTTATTGTCTACATGCAAAATTATGTTGTAGTATTTTTTTTGCTAGATAGTGTTCATGTAGACGGTATACTTGTGACGTTTGGAAGAAATAATGGGTTTTTCACCAGCTCGGTATACTCAACCCACTAAAATTTATATTTAACGTTGGAATGCATTAAATGTTGGCTAGGGGTTTTGAAAAAAATGCAATTTTCCTTTAACAGTTTTCATAAATTTATTTATCATAGCTTAAGTCACGAACGGATCTATACCACCATTGAATACTAGAAAATCCTAGTACCAGCATACATCCATGACCCCGTATCCGGTAATCGAACCCAAAACCCTCAGTTCCACGTAATAACCCATAATCTGTAGACCACTGAACCAAGGTCCAGTGGTGTACTAGTCTAACTTCAATCAATTCACAGTTTTACGACACTTATCCATTGTTTACGGTGGATAACTGCCTCACAGCCGGCATGGTTGAAACTCCACTAGTCACGGCTTCTCACGAAAACTCCAGTATATGTATGTTTAAGCTAATCCCTGGTAATTATCAAAACTGTAAGTTTTTTTGAGATTATAGAATTTTTATACTTTCTGTATCACGAACTAATCTTAGCTAGACCACCATGCAGGGTTGAGGATGTGCACTGCTGGGAAGTCTCATACTAGGACAAAACGACCACCCACTGCCTCCAGATTTTCAATGGTGGTTTAACTAAGATCAGTTAATGATTTAAACTATGAAAATACTACAATCTCCACCAATTCCCCTACACTGAATTTTCGTTCGGTTTGATCATTCCCCTATTAATATTTATGAATATATTTTAATATCAGTTAGATGCCTATTATTTTTGAAAGCAAACATTTTGTTTTATCTTATTCACGATAAGGTAACAATCATAAGCAGTGTTTCTGATTATGCCGATTACATGCGCACACTGTTCGATTTTGATGCTATTAAAACACTATTGACTGGTTCACATCAGCGTGAACCATTTAAATTGCTTGTCAGTGGTCTTAACGGAGGTGAGAGAATTTATTATTTATTATAATAATAATCACAATAATAATAATTATTATTATTACTGTTGCTAGGTGGTTTATTATTATTATTTCTTGTTTTTGTTGTTGTTAGATATTCGTCATCATAGACACTGTAGTGAGCTGGATAAATAAAAGATCACTGAACAAATGTCTTATCATAGTTTGTATCCATACATGATGTTGGTATTTATGACGTTGTCTAAAGTGATAATAGAAGCCTTCCAACGTAACTATCTAGCTGAGAGTTTGTGAGACTCATTGGGGGTTTTCAAACATGACTTTCAATTGGATGAGATTCAAGGTCTTTGAATCTTACATAGAGCACCAGTACGTCAGATCTTTAATGGTCTACATATTCATGGCACTGGGGTGTATTTGTGTTTGTGTATGTGGCAATAATTCGTTGTCGTCGATAATTATCTGTTTCACGTTCCCCTACATGGTTGAACTCTCAATTAGTCATGTGGTCTCTTACCTAGAACTTCGGAATTGAGTCTCGACACTTACAACTGTTGTTGGCTAGGTCTTTCGTTTTTTAGTGTGAGCTTATCAACAATGAAATCAATGACTTAACTCTTTCTATTTTCATTATTTCGAGGAAACATTTTTCTGAGATTTATTTCATATTTGCGGTTTAATCATCAAAGGAATTGCAGTTTACGAAGAAAAGTACCTAGCAATATCAAAGTTTCTAGATTATGCATAAATATGTGTTTCCCATCGACTTTTCCGTGTCACAACGTCAGGGATTAAGTGTACTTAACTGAAAGTGACATTTCTTGAAACTGTTATGATATTAAAATTTGGAGCAAATTATTTAACAGTGAGTACTTCACTTTTACGTCAGTTGTGATTCATCAAGGTTTGTGTTTCACACCTTCCACGGTGTGAGCAGCCGGGAAGTGATAACTGCCTTCATACCTTTATTAGCACCCGAGGTCATCTTGTTGGCAATCGAGCACCTCCCTCACCTCTTAATAATTCTTCCACCCCCACGAATAACTCTTCTCATTCATCGTTATCACCATGCGCCACCAATGCTAATAATTTGAGTTCACGAAATGTTATCCCTGGTATCCTGAAACCACACTAAACTACAGCTTCTAGCCGTTAATGTCCAAATCTTGTGTCAGATAGGACAGCAAACTTCTTTAGCTAGGACTCTAGAATCTCGCGCCACCAGTGTCTGCTGAGTCTCCGAAACACACACGGGGTCGAAGTACATTCATTCTCTGACCCCACTTTGTCAATGTAAAGAACCGACAAGTTTTACGTTTTGCGTATCCGAAATCCCCACTGCTACGTCAAGTGGTCTGACTAGTGCAGGTATAGCCTTAATTTTAAAAGCGGAGCAGGCTCTCCTAGACTGGATTTCAATAGACAGTCACTTGTGCGCTATCCTACTAAGCAGGACAGTAGGAACTCAAAAAGATTAGGACAAACACCGTTGCCTCTTCGTTGTATCTGTTTATGCTCCCACTGATTGTAGCTCAGACGAAATGTTGCTCCAAGATTGAATTGCATCATCACCTGAATTAGTGATAGGGAGTGAGCCAGTTGAATACATCATTCATTCATCACGGAATTCTCATCATCATTGATGGTCTGGTGTCTGACTTAATCCCGGAGTGGATTCAGAAGTTTCGGTTGGCTTTTACCAGCTTGCGTTACTTGTGGTGTAGGCAAGATATCCGTCTTCCGACCAAAGGGCGAGTTTATTGCACAGCCGTTTGTTACGTTCTAATTAATGGATGTAAATTATGGCCATTAAAAGCAGAGAATATTCATAGGTAACTAGTATTTGATCACAGGTGTCTAAGAAGCGTCGCTCGTATATTTTCGGACCATGCAGTCAACAATCTCGGGGTTAGGAACAGGATAAGGATGGTGGATCGATTGATGAGGTAGCGAATTCTCACCAACTGAGGTGGTTGGGAATCGTGTTACGCATGCCCAACCACTGCCCACCCCGACGGGCTTTTTTGATGCAAGAATAGGCTGGAAGAAAGCTAGGGGTGGTTCCGTCCTACGTCTGCAGCGTTTCTGGTCCGCGTCCCTTACGAACGCAATCTTCAGATTCTGGATACAAACCACTCTGGTGTGGCACGCCAATTCAAGCAACAAGTACAGCACGCCACCCCTGTTACCGTTCTCCGAAAAAGAACTACGTTGGCAACTCGACTATCAACGATCTCTTTCCTGTTCCGCCGATTCTTCCGTCCTACAATCGCTCGTCAGCCGATCAATCCCACGATTTAAACCGCTATTTATCGAAAGTGTAAACCCTTTCTAGTGGGTGGAAGGCTCCTGTGGTGACTCACTTTTATCATGAGAACACGACTGGTTTAATGAAAACAATCATTATTATAACCAACTGTACCAGTGCTTGTTTTAATTTGCTTTTGTTTATCTGTGCTAATTACAGCCATTTTGTGCTTCCATTACCGTCCATCATTGGTCCGTGGTTTTTGGCTTTGTTCGCACGTACTCCATTCTCCTGCTTTCGCTTGTACCATTTCTTGGCACGATCTTGGTATTCGTTCAATACCACGAGATCGCCAACGAAATAAATCTGGTTACGTTCAACCTTCGCCTTCTGATTTATTTGGCACGTGTTTCTTGGTAGCGGTGTTCATAGTCAACTGGGACTCGACGTACTTTTAGAGATAACACATTCCTCGTCTAGATTTCCAGGGGTTGAAGTTCTACCGGGAGGTTCACTTGTTGACTTAGAATATGCCGATGACATAGTTCTGTTTGGTGAAGACGCTGACAAAATGCAGAGTCTTCTAACCACTCTAAGCAACAATGCAAGCATGTTCGGGATGCGATTCTCTCCCTCGAAATGCAAAATGTTGCTTCAGGATTGGGTTACATCGACACCCGAACTAATGATAGGGAGTGAAGTAGTTGAGTGTGTCGACCGCTTCACTTATCTTGGAAGTCTCATCAGCCCTTGTAGTCTGGTGTGTGACGAAATCTCAGCACGGATACAAAAGGCTCGACTAGCTTTTGCCAACTTGCGTCATTTATGGCTGGGACATGTGTTACTTATGCCCAACCACCGACTACCTCGACGTGCTATGTTCAGTGGTATAGGAGTAGGTTGAAAGAAAGCTAGAGGCGGCCAAACCAAAACATGGCACAAGTCCATGAAGTCACTGACAAGTAGACTGAGTTATGTTGGTAGGTGTAGACTACCTGGTTGGGGACCACGAGATGATAGCCACCGATGGTTAGAGACGTTGAATGACATAGCTCAAAATCGTTTGCAATGGTGCAGGTGCATCCACTCTTTGTGTTCTCCCAAATTCTAATCTTGTGAATTCTTCATGTCTTGTTTTCTCTTCCCAAATTTATTTCACTGGACTATACTCCTTGAATAACACCTTCAAACCCTAATGTTTCCGATTGTTGCTCATACTTGTACTACCTCTACGACTATGGGATTTGAATCGACCACTGCATCTGTGTGCTAATGTGGTGTGGCAACTCCAACTGATGTACGTACGAAGTTCTACGTTGTTACTGACTGACTGACTGAAACCAAAATATGGTATGAGTCTATGGTGGCATTGACGATTGGACTGACGTATGTTGATAGGTATAGACTACCTATTATTACTATTAGGAGGCACCAGATAGGCATGCGCCACATAAATCGTTCGATTTGTGCGGAGGCTGGGATACTACCGGCGTGCCCAAACCGAAGCAAGTGGTTTTCTAGGGGAGCCACACTCGGAGCCTTCGACCTAAAGATCTGATCCAAAAGGCAGCGGAACAACGTCAGGAGACGCGGTCCCATGGTAGCCAGTGACCAACAATTAGTTCATACGCCATTCGTTCCCTCAGAATCTTGGAGCCCATATTCACCACTAGTTTGAAATCAGGGTTTCCCAACTCCACCAGGTGGATCCTCCATATCCACCAACCCGGTTAAAACGCCGGACATTCGGTTTCCGTTCCCTCAATTTCGTAAACAACACCCCTGGTTTGAGAAAGCAGTGAGTATGACTTCCCTGTCAGTGGTTGTATGCACGTGACCATGTGAAAGCATCCGTAGAGAGAGAGCGGACTCTCCCTACACTCGGCCATACTGTTGAACTGGACCGTATTGCTAAGCCCAAACTACACGGATAGTGTCCGTTTAATTATTGCAGCCAATGGTTGAAAATGTTGGTTGGTAGGGCTCAGAATCAGTCACAATTGACTAAATACATTCACTCTTTGTCTTCTCTTGGATCTTTAGTTTCAAAATTATCTTGATCTTTTATCATTCAAATTCATTCTTGAACTGTATTATCCATAATTGATAGTATCTAATGATAATGATGCTGTTATTGCTTCTACTTCTCTCTCTTGTTTTTAATCTCATTTTGTTTACTGTACAAGTAAATCCTCAGATTGACTTCTCATCTATACGATGTAATCAAATAATACAATCAGTATCCATTCGCTTAATTGTTATTATGTTATGCCACTTTTAAAAAGATGATTCTAAATAAAGTTAGAAATTAATGGCCAAATGATAATGTCATTAGTGTTTATTTGCTTCACACCTGACATGGTTGAAATCCACAGGTCAAGACTTCTCACTACAACTCATTTTTAATTCTTTTTGGTGTCTTTTTGATCATTAGTAGTCTTTTCCCGCACAATGATCTTATACACTCGGGTCATTTTAATCTCTACCAAATAAATGATTTTTCCAATATTCTAAATTAATCGATCAATTTTTCTTTTTTTCCCAATATACACTAGAGTAAACATGGCTATCTTTTTTGGGACACTTTCATACCACCGAAATTTGTGAAAGACTAATTCCGTCTTCACATACTTTCAATAATTGTCATTTGACAAGGATTATATCTTATATTACGCTAATAGATCAATCATTCGTATTTCCCAGTCACCTCATATTGATTAGTAATTGATTCTGATATCACGTAGCTATCAAGATTCGACAATCATTCATGTTTATTTACTCAAATACAAAACAAAAGTGAATCGAAATGTACCATGAACATTTTTATAGAGATATGTCGAACTCCAGTATTCTGTAACAACTGGTTACTTGCTTACTTACGCCTGTTACTCCTCGCGAAGAATCACAGGCCGCTCATCAGCATTCTCCATCCAACTCTGTTCTGGGCAATCCTTTCCAGTTGTTATTCATTCTTTTCATATCTGCTTCTATTATCCGACGCAATGTGTTATTTGGCCTTCCTCTTTTTTACTTCCCTTCAGGATTCCAAGTTAGGGCTTGCCTCGTGATGCAGTTTGACGATTTGCGTAATGTATGTCCTATCCATTTCCATCGTCGTTTCCTAATTTCTTCAGCTGGAAGCTGGTTTGTTCTCTCCCACAGAAGGCTATTGCTGATGGTATCCGGCCAATCGATGTTGAGTATCTTGTGTAGACAGCTATTTATAAATACTTGTACTTTCTTGATTGTGGTTGTTGTAGTTCTCCAAGTTTCAGCTCCATACAGTAGAACTGCCTTGACGTTCGTATTGAAGATTCTCACTTTGATACTGGTTGAAAGTTGTTTTGAGTTCCATATGTTCTTCAATTGTAGGTATGCGGCCCATGCTTTGCCAATCCTCGCCTTTACGTCTGCATCGGATCCTCCTTGTTCATCGATGATGCTTCCCAGGTATGTGAAGGACTCTACATCTTCCAGAGTTTCGCCATCAAGTGTGATTGGATTGCTGTTCTCCGCTTTGAATTTGAGGACCTTGGTTTTCCCTTTGTGTATGCTGAGGCCTATTGATGCAGAGACTGCTGCTACACTGGCTGTCTTCATCTGCATCTGTTCCTGTGTACGTGATAGGAGGGCTAGGTCATCTGCGAAGTCCAAATCGTCTAATTGATTCTGAGCTGTCCATTGCATTCCGTGTTTTCCCTCAGAAGTCGAGGTCTTCATAATCCAGTTGACCACCAGAAGAAAGAGGAAGGGAGAGAGTAAACAGCCTTGTCTGACTCCGGTCCTTACTTGGAATGCATCTGTCAGCTGTCCTCCATGCACTACTTTGCACTGTAGTCCGTCGTATGAGTTCCGGATAATATTGACAATCTTCTCAGGAACTCCGTAGTGTCGAAGAAATTTCCATAACGTCCTCCTATCTACACTGTCTAATGCCTTTTCATAATCAATGAAGTTGATGTATAATGATGAGTTCCACTCAACTGATTGTTCGACGATGATCCGTAGTGTTGCAATTTGTTCTGTGCACGACCGATCCTTACGGAATCCAGCCTGTTGATCTCGAAGTTGGACGTCTACTGCACCTTTTATCCGGTTCAGCAACACTTTTTTAAGGACTTCCCCTGGTACTGACAGTAGTGTGATGCCTCTGTAGTTTTCACATTTGCTAAGATCTCCTTTTTTTGGAATCTTGATGAGGTGTCATTCTTTCCAGTCCATCGGCACTTGTTCCTCCTCCCAAATCTTTTTGAAAAGAAGGTGAAGTATGTTTGTAGTTACTACGATGTCTGACTTTTGTACTTCAGCTGGTATATTGTCGGATCTCAGCAAGTGTTAGAAACACAGAGGCTTCACACTACTATCGGTATCAGGAAAAGTTTTCAACAGAGTGTTGTTGAACCGAGTGGAAGATACAGTAGACGTCCAACTTCAAGATCAACAGGCTGGGTTCCGTAAGAATCGACCATGCACAGACCAGGTTGCGACACTACGGATCGTCGTTCAACATTCGATTGAATGGAATTCGTCACTATACATCAACTTCCTTGATTATGAGAAAACTCTTGACAGTGTGGATAGGAGGAACTTAAGGAACCTACTTCGACATTATGGTGTGTCTGAGAAGATCGTCAACATCATACGGAATTCATATGACGGATTACACTTCAAAGTCGTGCATGGAGAATATGTGACACATGCATTCCAATTGAGAATCAGTGTCGGACAAAGCTGTCTACTCTCTCCCTTTCTCTTTCCTCTAGTGATTGAATGCATTACATACATACACAAGGGAAAAGCAAGATCCTCAAATACAACACAGAGAGCACCAACGCAGTCACACTTGATGGAGAAGCTCTGGAAGGGATAGAAGCTTTCACGTATCTAATCAGCATCATCGACAGACAAGGATGATATGATACAGATGTTAATGCATGAATCGGCAAATCAAGGGCAGTATTTCTACAATCGAAGAGCATATGGGACTAAAAACAACTGTCAGAATCTTCAATACGAACGTCAATGCAGTTCTATTACACAGAGGTGAAACGTGAAGAACTACTACAACTATCATCAAAAAGGCAAGGGTATTTATAAACAGTTGTCTACGCAAGATACTCAATGTCTGTTTGCCGGATACTATAGGCAACAACCTACTATGGGAGAGAACAAACTAGCTTCCAGTTGAAGAGGAAATTAGGAAAAGATGTTGGATGCGGATGGAACATACATTGAAGAAATCACCAAACTGCATCATGAGGCAAGCACTAACTTGGAATCCTGAAGGCAAGGGTAGAAGAGGAAGGTCAAAGAACACATTGCATCAGGAATTGGAGGTAGACAAGGAAGGGAAGAATAGCAACTGGAAAGGATTGTCTAGGACAGGTTTCGATGGCGAATCCTGATAGGTGTCCTATGGTCCTCCTCGAGTAGTAACAGGCATAAATAAGTAAGTGTTCTATAATTCACAGCCAGTCCTCATATATCAAATGTACATTTTCAAACTAAAAATGGTCTCTTCATAGGTAGACTCAATGTCAGAAATAATTCTATGCCTACACTAACGACTAATATTCAGATGGATTTATATACTTTTATATGTGGAAAAGATCTCGATCAATGAAGTCAACAAATTCGTGAGTGATATAAAATGCACCAAATAACGATATTGTTTAAGGGCTGAGATGAAACTGAAAACGTCTGAATCATTCCCACCTAGGGCTGACACTCTGGAATACTGCGTACAGTTTAGACACGCATTGGGATTTTGTCACTTGCCGTTTTGCTTTGGAATATATTTACGTTATGTTCAAGTAGTGTTTTGATTTGAAAACCGATCGAGTGGAGTGAAGTGTCTAAGAATACTAGGCCGCATAAACAAACTTAGTAGTTTCCTAATTGATGCAATTTAATAATAAAAATTTTCTTCACATTACACACTATACATAATATCTACTGAACGTGTAAATTTAACGCATTTCATCTTGTTATTACTCACGGCGTCCGAAGCTGATACTATTAAGCAAACTCCCGAAGTATAAGCCTTCAGCTGGTTACTATGTGAGAAAACCAATTAATAAGGAAGGAATTTTTTTGCGCTAAACTGGATCACATACATAAAGCCATTTCTCTATCAATCACATGCACTTGCCATTTTGGAAATTTTTTGATTGACACAACGTGGCCTCGTCCATTAGCGTCTTTTGATAGGTTTACTATCACATTTCCTTGAAAATAAGTTCGGCTATTAGCGTTAAAATGATCCCCACTTTGTTCTGGATAAAGTTACCACAGTACCTCTCAATGAATATAGTTGATATCTGATGTATTTTAATGGCTCTTTACTTTTTTCATCATTCCTTCTTTCATACGATATATATACGTATAAAGTCATGGGGCCCTACATTCATGAGATATTATGCAATCAACTTGGATTAAATTCAGAGTTAGCTATTAAATCTCAACCATTAGAAGATTTTGGCGGTGGTCATCCTGATCCAAATTTGACTTATGCGGCAGATCTTGTCCAAATGATAGTGGCTGACTCATCAATTGCAATGGCAGCCGCTTTTGATGGTGATGGTGATCGAAATATGTTGATTGGTCGACACGGTTTTTTTGTATCACCATGTGATTCGTTAGCTGTGATTGCAGATAATACAGATTGTATTAAATATTTTCAAGAGAATGGTGTTCATGGATTTGCACGAAGTATGCCTACCAGTAGAGCACTTAATCTGTAAGTTTTGTTTGTCTTATGCCTATATAACTGGGTTATATCAACTCCATGTGATCGATTTCAAACCATGAACCTTCTGGGTTTGTTAGTCATTAACGTGAATATCAACACATGAATGTGCCAGGGACATCCAGCTGAATAGGGTGAAACACGCTTGTTAGGTGTACTAAACGTACTAAAAGGCTAAGAGCTGTGTCAGGCCAATCATCTTTCGATGCACCTATGACAAATAAATTGATCAATTGTAGCGGGACTATAAAACCTCAATAATGCATTCATACTCGATATATAATTTCGCGGTTATCTGGGCTCAGTAGTTCAACATTAAGTGGTCGGAAGTAGTTGTTGACAGGATGACGTGACTTAGTATTTATAGTCTGACAAAAATAAGCTACAGGCATGTGATGTGTAGAATAAGCATAAAGACACATACGCTCATATAAAAATACTCAAAGTTAATAAGCGAATAATTGACAAGGTCAAAATGTGACTCAAGAAGAATGAATAAACTGGTCTGTCTGGAAGTTAAAATAACCTATTTCGGCTTGACATAGTACTAGACACTACAAGTATATCTGCTGTTCAGTCGCTTAAACTAGTGACCATAGAATGATGCATTGGTATTTGAACTGACAGATAGTAGTTTTGATTCTCAATACCATCATGCTGACATATCCATGTGATTAGTCCAATATGGAATGTAATGCACATGTTGGATTCTACTGTGAGGCAGTATTCAAAATAATAATCATTTAGTGTATTATTTTTCTGTATAAATTCTCCCTGTATTAGTGAAAACTAGAGTTTAGTTGTATATCATCTTTCTATTTGGATGTATTGTATTACAGTGTATGTAAAAGTCGATCAATGCAGTGTTACGAAGTTCCAACAGGATGGAAATTTTTCGGTAATTTAATGGATGCTAAATTATGCTCTTTATGCGGTGAAGAAAGTTTTGGCACTGGTTCTGATCATATACGTGAAAAAGATGGTTTATGGGCATTACTTGCATGGTTGTCTATTTTGGCTAAACGTAGTCAAATTGGTTTGCCAGTAGATGTCGAGTCAATTGTAATGGAACATTGGAAGAAATACGGAAGATATTTTTTCACTAGGTAGGTTACTTTCAATAGTAGTTTACAACATTAGAAGAATAATTGTTTATCAAGAGGAATTACACAGCGTTTACATATTACGTTTACACAGCCTTCGATCATCAATTTTCATCTCGAGGTCTATCCTACAATCCAAACTGTCTTCTCGTCTAGTCAACAAGTGTTTTGCTTACCTCCTGCTTTCAATGTACTGAAACTCTTAATCACGTTTGACGACGGTGACAACTTTGACGTCACTTTCCACAACATACTACTTACAAGCTATTCTGTAGGTAACGTCCTCTATACTCGCCTACTTCCATGGAATTGTTGAACCTAAAGTCATGCTGACCTCCGTGGTTCTTTTGTCACCGGCTCCGTCCTGATAATCCACTAAAGCCACTTTTAGAGCTGGCTAGTATTCACGCGTTTCCCTTTGTTGCCTTTCTGGATGGTATATACCAGTCCTAGTATCCTGGTAACTACGTTTAGTTCTTCCCACATGAACAGTAGATTTCGCGAGCCAAGTCCACCTCCTACTGTATCCTTTCGTCATCTACATTTCACCTTATCTGAGATCTACTTTTCCCCTTCATACTTGTTATAACTTGTAGCCTGTGTGTCCTGTTAATGTATAACGTAATGATACCGCCAGTTAGAGAACAGTGAATTATCGATCGGATCAATGACGCACAAAACCCTTGTGTGCAGTCTAGAGTACTTATCAATCCTGCTTCCTGCCTAGTCCAACCAGTTAAGTCCAGAACACCAATCTCAGCCTCTACAATATGAATCACTTATTTCAAAAATACTGGGTTTATATACCATCCAGACAGACCACATCGTACCATAAAATAGGAAACAACATTTGTACAAGATTTAGCCAAATGTGGCTGTGAATGTGGGAGATAGTAATTAATAAACAGGTCACAACTCAAGAATGGTAAGTCGTATAATAATAGTTCACAGGTCAAAATAAAGGTCATAATAAGAGGGTCATGAATATGAATAGTTTAGTTATTTAACAATTAAACAATAAAAATATACGCATACTATTGGTCCATAAATGGATCCCAAAATTTACCATTCATAACAATACTGTTTGAATCTCCTTACATCCGTCTATTGTTTCTGTCGCACATTTCCCACCGCTTGTTCTCATTCGTCCTGCCACTTTGTGAACAACCATCTCTGCTACTGCGGCCACGCTTTATTGTCCCCTGGCAGTCGCGTTCTTTTACTATACATCGACTGGAACAGCGACCTTCTAGTGGTTCCTTGTACTGCGGCGCGATGAATTAGCAATACCATCAGTAGTTCTGTCTCCCCGGTTTCACTTCTTGCTCTTAGCCAGTTCTTTAATGTGTGATTATTTTGTTCTGTTAGTCCTTTGGTATGGTGTTGTTCGGATTCCCTCGATATCCAGCTGACGTAGGCACTATGTAAACTCGTCACTCTCAAAACATAGATCTCGATTTGTTAATATCCTTTTTGGAACGTCGTGGTTCGCCACAATGTGTTTAATTATTGCATTTGTCACTGTCCTTTGGCATTTGTCAAGAATCGCAGCCACGTCCATTAAACATATGGCGTACTTTTTCGTCACTAACAGGTACTGATGAGGACACAACTCCCTGATGTCCACCAACCGTAGACCGAATTACTGATAACGAACGGTTGTTCGTGGATCAAACTGCATTGTGTTGACTCCGAAAACCACTTCGGGTAAATGATCTTTCTCTGTTCATGATAGATAATCTACAACCATATTTTCCTTCCCCGGTACTTGATCCATCGTAAAAACATTCTCCTGTAGGCGCAATGACCATCGTGATAATTTCTCTCGAGGGTATTTCGCTGTCTCTATCCATTATATATATATATATATATATATATATATATATATATATATATATATATATATATATATATAGTAGTGAGAATAACGTGAACTACTGACTATTGAGGAACTGTCTTGAAATGGCGATAAAAGGGTTTACATGAGTGTCGTGGATTTCACGATTGAAAGGAAGATAAATTGTGAATACGTCTACACCATTGTGAACGATTCAGAGCCATGTCATCTAAAGTTTCTAACCAGTGATCGTGGTTATTATGTGGACCTCAACCAGTTAGTCTGCATCTACCAACATGGCTCAGACCAACACCCAGTGGCTTCATGGACTGATGCCATGTTTTGGTTTGACCTCCCCTAACTCTGCCAACGTACTCTTATAGCATCAGGCATCGCTTGCTGAAGTAGGCAATGATTAGGCATAGGTAACACATGTTTGGGGTGCGTTTCCCCCTCTTTACTATCGTAACCAATAGTTGGAGACTGGGTAACATGGATCAGAATCTATCATAATGACGTCGGTGTATACACTGTTTGTCTTCCCTTAAAACATGATGTTAAATTACTTTATATCTTTCTACGAACTAATTCTTTCTCCCTGTATTATATTCTTTTATGCAATCGTGGATGTGAACTGCTGAGGAGTCCCATACTGGGATGGAGCGGCCGTCCAGTGCTTCCATGTTTTCGACTCATGAATTCATCGATTATATCAGTACAATCTCCACAAAACCACCTTTCTGATAATAATCACTAGTGACTGGCTTCAAGTGGTAATTCCCGGAGTTCTTGTGAGAAGTCGTTACTATTAGAGTTCAGCCGTGTCTGTTGTAACGCAGTGACTCGCTGAAGATAAATAATTTTGTTGAATATAAGAAAGGAGCTCATAATTCAAATATTTCTACGATTCATATTTTTTTTAGTTAAGTTGGATACTAGCTAACAATGCGTCCTGTCTGGGACTCATCAGTTAGACGTACCTGCATCTTAATGTTGATGTTCACATCGGTACTCGAAAACAGTGCCTTTAGCTTCAAAAGGCCAACGCGTTATCCGTTGAGCTACTGAGCCTAAATAGTCACTCATTTTTGCAACGGAAGTCAATTGAATGTTTATACCTTCCCGTTGATACTAACTACTGAAATTGATCAGTCACTTTTGGTATATGTACATTCTGAGCGGTCTGCTTCGATATTATTTCGGATCCACCTATCCCAAAGGTGACTGATCAATTTTAGTTCTTAACATTTGCGGTAAATGTACGAACTAAATTCTTATTTTTGCCATAAATCTTAAATGTATACCTCCAACAATAAGTTAACATGATTGTACATCGTATTTCTTTCGCACATATGTTTAATATAATTATGGGTGTTTATTTTCAATGATGATGTCTTGTCCTTCCTTAATTTATTGTATTGATCTGTAAGGCTTTGTTTTTAGTATCGTGATAAACCCGAACATACATTCAATACAATGCTGGTAACAATAATCATCAGGTCATTCATTTCTATTTATCGATGGGTTTTCACATGACCCATTCAATGAACAAAATGGCTATTTATTTATTTACTTACACTTGACTGTTTATATCGTTGCAATTAGATAGTTCATTTTCTCTCTATAGTGAATGTCTCATATACATATATATATGCCTTATGTTTCATTCGGACCATTGTTCGGATAGATAACTAGAATATAATTATGCACTATAGGTTCAATCTGTTTTTATTCTCCTGATGTATAAACCCTCGTTATTCACGAAATTATGCTCTGGGCAATTGAGGTAATCCGCAACGTCTTCAATTCCCAGCGGACGTGTTGTATCCAGCACTTTCGGTCAATTTCCTGTTCATTTAGTCAGTGCATCTTACATATCAGAGAGTAAATTTCCCCGAAAATTTCTTATCAAGTGTTTGTGGTTATCCCCAACTGTTTGTTATGGAAATGTCAATGAAATACAGCCTAACTTGTCGAATGCAAAACCCAAACACAGTCGAATTTCGGGCCTCAATTGAAATGTGGTGAAAATCACACTTACCGAATATGCAGGATGTAATGCATTCATTAAACATAATAAAGGTCGTAAATAACGTTTGTTACAACGGGGGGATTTTTAATTATTAACCAAACTAAAACATTACACTTATCGTGTGCCAAATACCAGATAAAATCACAGGTCAATTATAACCCTTTATATCAATGTGTCCTGGTACATATGGGTATCATTATATCTCACATCAACAAACTGAGAGTAAAAAACTCTTTGTATTACTACTTTGTAAACCTTACCTTCCGTGAAATGTTTATGATCACTAATAACTTATTGCTGCTACTAATTTATGACTGTTTAGTTTCTCAGTTCTTATACATTCTGCCAGTTGAGATCTGTGATTCGAATGTTAGAATAGTCAAATGCTAAAACTGATGTGGAGAGCCATTCAGAAGTAGCCTAACGTAAAGGTCAATCGATGGCAATCAGAAGTGACCTAAAGGTCAAGTGCACTTCATTGGCTGTGAAATGGATCAGTTTCTTAAGGGTTAGAGTGGCATATATATGAATGAGTACTTGTATGTTCTATTGGGCAGCTCAATATACTTTCTCGCTCGCTCTTGTGTTTGCGCTCAAATAGTCATTTGGGGGGATCAGCGCATAGCACATCATGTATCGGTATCAGATTTCGGACACCGCCTGTCACAACAAAATCGGTCAATCTACACTGTCTGTCAAATAAACACGCTAACTAATTTCACAAAGTTCAGAGTAACGTTTAAATCACATCACTTTTTATCTTAATATATTTATTCTATTCTGACCGTTATTTAAAACATCTGTAATGAGTCTTTAACAGTTACTCTCCTCAGTCTCTTATTTATTGAAATTTTTCTGTCTTCTTCACTTTTTCACCGCGGTCATCGCCCTCTAATGGTGATGGATTCTCATGGGACCATGGGTAATAAATACAGAAAGATAGAAGTGGAGGTATGTATAAAACACTGATTCGGGGTTCTAAAGAAAAGGTTAATTAAATGTAACAGTCATTTTCCATCGCTTAATAGCTAAGTAAAAACGAGTTGCAAAGGTCTTACAGACTCAAGATAGTGGACGCTTAATTGCAACCTTAGTAACTCAATTCTTTCATGAATTGAACAAATCTTCTGATCGACTGGTGTTAGACATATGAGTTGGTTCTCGACTGCCCACAACGTGGTCGGATACTTCTACCTATGAGATGTAAAAAAATGTTTGGATTAGCGGTAGTCATAAAGACCTGTTTATGTGAACGCAGGGCTATGAGCATAACTGTTTCGGGGCAGTCATACACCATCTTTTTGTGCGTTGACTCAGTACTGCTTAGTACTATTCAAACGGTGACGGGAATTCGTAGAGCAAGGTGAGATAACCTATTTTCAAATTTGCCTTTCGGTAACCATTGCTTTTCATATTGGGCAGGTTGTATCCCGACAGATTCTGGTTGTCTAAGAGAAGCACCTTACTGCATCCAAACTCCTTTGCAGTTAGAAGTACGAATTCGCCCGCGAACCTCGAGTTTAATGGTTCTAATCTGACCCATCTCTAGCCGCTCTACTTGTTATAGTCAGGTCTAAGAAACGAGTTTGGGCACCCAGGCAGTATCACAGCCCTCACACATATCAAATGAGATCTGTGTGGCGCATATGTATTTGGTGCCTCCTTGTACCAATATCTATGTGTTAAAATAAATAAAATACAATAAATAAGAAACGAATGTTCCAACCAATATAACTTGTTTGAGTTATTACGATGTTCAGGTTCATGTCATGGTAGCAGATGTTCATCGGTCAACAAATACTTTGTTTATTTAAAAATAACAATCAACTTTCTAATTCATCAATATCAAGTATGTAGAAAATCAAAACAAACAAATGATCCAAGAGTCAAACTATGTCAGTCAAAAAATACCAGTTACATTTTTTCTTTTATGATTGTCGTCCTTGTTGTAGATACGATTATGAAAATTGTGAATCAAGTCAAGGTGATGAAATTATGAATGAATTAAAGAAATTAATTGACAATAATAAAATATCAGGTCATGTGTACACCACTGTCAGTGGACGACAGTTCGTTTGTGATTTTTGTGATAATTTTTCATATGTGGATCCAGTTGATGGAAGTCACACTGCAAACCAAGTATGTGAAATTATATATTAACATAAACATAATCTTATGATTTCTAATTCAATTTGTATATCATTGATGTTTTAACGTCGACATCAGATCAGATTCAGTAAAGGTAATTGCCTGTAACGAAGTGATTGAGCGAGAAGTGTCCTTGCTCTTAAATCTTTTGATTTTTGGCAAATAGATTGCATTTTCGATCTTTGAAATTCCCAACAATACAAATCTGTGACCTCCACTTCAAGTTTTGCAAAGAGTATAATTCTATCCATTTCCTAAGTAGTGACATAATTATTAAATCAGTCAGTGAGCTTCCAACCATTATTAGGTTGAGCGTGTTCAAATACTACTATATGTATAAATTGTTTAATGAGTTAGACAGCTGGATGATATCTTTGTATGTATCAGATAATAATGGATGTACGTACAACGTATATATACATCCTTTTTGTATACAAGGTAGGGAAAGAGGGGAAATATGAATTTGTTTAATGTTTTTTTTGAGTTCTCAAATAATTATAATTCCTAATATATATGATCTGTTCACTTATGTACATTGACACCATCATCAAAATATTAGACGTGAATAAAATGTTAAATGGTTTCGGTAGCATTTTGCATTCATTGAGTTAAATATTGCTCAATTAGATAGAATAAGAAATTTTCATGAATTTTCTAAACGTTAACATGACGACACTAATCGTAAATGCAATCTCTTATATATTGATTTTACACACACTTGATCATTGATTAGAAAGAAGTCATATGTACGAAATTGACATAATTACATGGTACATTTCATGCTGAACATACTTCATGTTAATTCAATACAAAGAATATTATATCTTGAATAATCATCGTCATAATTCTTCTAAATGAAGACCTTCGAATTCCCAGGGCAAAGTTTGAATGGTTTCAATTATTTTTTCTGGTTAGCGTTTTTTAGCGAGTTAGTTTTCTACGGGATGGAGTCGCTAACCCCATACCTAACCCTCCTCCTTTACCCGGGGCTTGGGACCGGCAGCAGCCCCAGAGGGGATCCAGGCGCATTTGAATAATCACCACACTGAAATTAAAACAAATATTACAATGAGTAATTATCACATTGAATTAGAAATGGAAGTAATGTTGAATGAGATTCACAATTACTAAACAACGTTGTTTAGTCTTTTCGTCCCATCATACCACTTCTCGTTTTTAATTGAATACGTAGGAGTTAGTTTACCGTAGAGAATCAATTGAAAGAGTTGATATTCTCCGTTAGAATCTCGGCTGATCGTGTTCCAGTTTGTTATATTTCTCTCTTACGGTTATAACCCAGCTGTTCCTATTGCTTAATATTCTCGGACACCGATTCACTCGACATGTCCCCAAATCAGAACACGGTTGAACAGGAAAAGATTATGTTCCAAATAACAAGGTTAAATGGGAGTAAGTGCAGTAGCGAAAACGCTAGTATATTTATAGTTTTTCACATGAGAAGATTCCTAGTGTTCACTAAGTCTTGACTAACACTGATTGGATAAGATTTAGCCAATCAGCGTGCGCCAACACAGTTGAGTTTTGCAGCTTTATTTGAGAAAACTGACAGCCTTCTGCGTCTGTGTTCTGCCCATTTGTTCACTGCATATATGATTCTCTCCTCCCACGCCACGAGTTACTATCACTACTCACTGTTAAACTTTTGTATTATACTTTTATATGTTAATCACCTCTAGTGTTTGCACGATTATCAGTAATATTCACTTCAGTGTTCCTGTGAGACTTCACATCTTAACTTAAGCATCTTTCAGTGTTCTTATTTAAATGACTAAACGGTATCTCATGCTCCTCACAGTGAGATTTGGTCTTAACAAACAAATATCCGTTGCATTATACCATCCTATTGTCAGCATTGCTTTATGAGACTTTCTTAAACTCTGTACATTAATGACTGAAATTAGTGTATGTTTTTGCATTTTTTACTCGTAAATTAAATGTCTTAAATGCATATAATTCTGCCTTAAAACCTTTTAGTCATCAACTCATCGGAATTAAATCACTATTTAAATTGGTCATTGTTACTAGATTCAAAGGTTTATGTACTTGATTTTCATCTTAGAATCGGTTAACTGTACCATTAGCACTGGTAATTGCTATGTTTTAATCGATTACGAGTTCACTTAGTCTGAAAACGGAACAAAGACTCTGTGACCAAAGACCAATACGCTAGCTATTCTGATACGTCCAAGCCCCGCTAACTAGATAAAGAAGTCCAAGTTCGGAAAAGGGAAATATATTCTGCAAGCAGCCAGAAGCACGAACAATAACAACAAGAATAAATCAAGCGTATGTATATATACAGCATCAAAATGTCCTTAAGAAGCGTTACAATATAGCATACTAAAAAGATACAACGAACCAATAGCGTTTAAGATCCTCCCAAGTGGAAAATACGACATAAAGACAAAAGTGAGCGCTTTTGGCTTGAAGACGAGAAATTCAAATTTTTAAAATAGAATTACAAAAATAAGTTATTTACTAAGTGAATTCTGGGGATCTAACATCTCAAAAAGTAATGATACTAGTAATGGTATACGGTTGTAGTGAACAAAAACTCAGGTGGGCAAAACCAATTTATTTGTTAATACAAAATTACAGAATGTCTTCGTAAGATACGAAAACCACACATTTAATACTCCATTCGCTCACTTTCCACCAATTATCTCTTACAAACTTCATCGTTCCTTCATTCCTATTGTTATTACAATTACTCTCTGTTCACATTTCTGTTCCATTCAATTCTATATTCCTAACCTTTTCATGCCAGGCATCTCACTTCTGATTGGTGTTACATACTATTTATGTCGACAGACATAAGTAACATACTGAAGTTCAGAATTATTCAATACTTGTTCAAAATTACGCGTGATTAGTCTGTCACTTGTATAACTGTAATTATGTGATTAACCCATTCATCTCGTATTTGGGTATTACTCATTACTCTAAGTTGGAATGATATATTATACTATTTAGTTGCCTGAACCGAATTAGGTGCGCAGTGTTCGAACTTAGGACTTATTGGTTGGAGGTCAAGCGCCTTAACCACTTATCCTTCGTTCCATTCAAGTAATGCTTATGTGCATTTTTTTCCATAATAATCCTTGTTTTCGTATTCTCACTTTAACAAACATGATCTCTCATATGTATGTTGTATGAGTTTCATGGTCTTATTGTCGTTTCCTCTTTTTATTTTTGAAAAAGGGTTTTCGCTTAATTTTTAATGATGGAACACGATTTGTGTATCGTTTAAGTGGTACAGGCAGTAGTGGTGCAACACTTCGAGTGTATGTTGACACTTATGAATCAGATCCGGCTAAACATACAATTGCTTCACAGGTCAGTCAGTTTTTTCAGAGAGATTTACAAGTGTTTTCATGGTGGTGTACAACATTGAGTGTGTATCAAAGTATTTGTGGTATTTTACACACTACCTCTATGTATAATGTTATGATTTACCATCACGGACTGATTTTGTTCCGATAACTATTAGAAACCAAGAATCAGTGGACAGTAATTTAGTCCTAACATAGGACTCAGTGTCGTTGCACACTCATGACCCCACCGATGAGCTTCCATTCGTTAAGCCGTATTTTAAAAAAGCCTCAATCGTTCATAAGTAGAATGTACCATACACCAATCAGTAACATGATATTTTACCAAAATTAGACAGAATCATTGAGATCGGTAGACATTTATGTGTGAAAAACTCAATCATGTAAATTAATAGAGTAATGTTGCAATTTATATTATTATTATTATTACTAATGTTAGTTATAATTCGTGTGATTACATAGAATAAAGTCAACGAGGATAATATATGGGATAAAAATAAACCATTTAATAAGTGAAATTCTGTTGTGATGTTTATTTTCACTAGTGTTACTGGATGAGATTCATCGTTCTCTTCTTCTGTATGCTAGCTAAGATCAGGCCGAAAACCTTGGCCGTAATGGCCTCTGCATATTGAATGAAGTATACTCATTATTTTTTGTTTCTTATGTAGGTTGAAGGCTTTTCTCTCTGATATTCATTATTGCGCTTTGTATAGATGTAACATTCCATCTTTTAATATACTATAGTGAACGAGAGCACAAGTGGGGGCAATCGAATACGTTTGAACTCCAAATTGCAGAATCCCTTAGTAAAATCTGAGAATCATACAGTAAATACTTAATTTGCAAAGTATCTCAAACCTGACTGTTCCTTTGCAAATCTCAATCAATCGTCTCAGACTTCAATGTTCCTTCAATTCCATACTAATTGCTTTCTGTTCCCGTTCTTTCCTTCTCGACCTTTTGCTTCCAGACATTCTATCCCTGACTAGCGGTTTATACTACTTATATCGATATAAGTAGCACATACCACATACTAATGAGCTACTCAGACACATCTAAATTACTGTCCTATGTACGAACAGTTGAAAAGGATCAAACTTATGTACATAGTTGACAATTACAAGATGCCTTAGTCGTGTCTTATGTACATTCCTCTGCCGTGAAATAGGTTGATAACTGATACTCCCTAAACAATCGCAACCATATTTTTTACAAGTCATTCTAAAGTAGAACTGATTCTTTAGTAAGCTTTGCTTTCCATCCTTTACTTGAATTACATCCTGGTATTCATAATACGTGTTCTATATCCTATTATGAGTCAGGGCGCAGCAGCGAACTGACAAGTGCTAATCCTACGTATAACTATCTTTTAGTACATTTAACAGATGGCATAATGAAGGATACTTGTATTACATAAGCAGTACTACATAATCAATATAAACTCGAGAATATAGTAATATTTGTTGACTTGTCAATCACCCAAATGTGTATTTCAGTAGGTGAATATTTCACCATCATGGTGATGATTAATGGTGGATTTAACTGTTTATAATCAAGTTCATACAAAGTTTTATTCATCATAGGTTGATCTCCGTTAGTATATAGTGCTGTACAGTTATTTCGTTCTAGTACGGAACTCTCCAGTGTTTTATGTTTACAACTCCACCGGCAATCAAACCCCAGTACATTCAATTTTTGCAATAAACGCTTAACCGTTAAAACCCCCACTAGGTCGGTGCCCAATGGTACGATTTCGACTTCAATCCATTTGCAATACCACTTTATCGATTGTGGTAGTGGTCTTTCTTGACTTAAAAGCACCATTTGACTGTATAGACCGCAAGATTCTGTAGCACTGTTTGTCATTGAAAGGTGTACCTCAAAAGTACATTAACCTTGTGAAGGCTCCTTACTCGAACAGTACCAGTCGAGTCAGAGCTAATGGCGAACTGTCATCTGCTTTAGCAACCTCAAGTGCTCGCATCTGCTGAGATCAACGGGTAATTAATGGTGAGGTTAGACGCAGAATATTAGGGAATGATGGTAAATCAGTTGATGATTTTGTGAATCTTCATCGACTGAGATGGTTGGGCCATATGTTACGTATGCCTGAACACCGATTACCACGACGTGCAATGCTAATCGGTATTCGGGATGATTGGAAGAAAGTTAGGCGTGGTCAAACCAAAACGTGGCATCAGTCCTTGAAGCCACTAACTTCCAGTCTGAGCCATGTTGGTAGATGCAGACTACTTGGTTGGGGTCCGCGTGACTATCGTATCCAATTGTTGGATACTCTGGATGACATGGCTCAGAATCGATCACAAACCTTTCAACTAAACGATGTTATTATTGTTCTGGATACTCTGACTCCAAATGTTAGCGTTTACCTGTTGGTTTTTTATGCATTTTTTGGAAGTATTGTTGTTTGTTGTGTGTAATCATAATAGTGATAAGATGTAATCCATCCTGCATTTATTTTAACTTTTATCATACAGGAATATCTGAAACCGCATATTGAATTAGCATTGGAATTATGCGGTGTAAATAAAATCACTGGTCGAGTAGCTCCAAATGTCATCACATAAAACGTCTTATCCTACAAAGCTGTTGATTTTCTACCTTTGCTGCACAACCCATTCATGGTGATTAATTAAACATAACACTGATGACTGTCATTCGTAGTCTTTTGAACATAGAATCGTATGCGATCATGGTAATTAAACGAACCTTGCCCTCCTCCAATCAACAGTGATTCTTATTATTATTACTATTATAAATTCTCCCGTATATTAATATTGTTCCCGTCGGTTAATGATTACTACATCTATCTTGTCGCTGCCGCTGTCATCCTTTTAGTAATATTTAGATGATAAGATCATAATGCATTTGCTCATCGTTTAGATCTTTCGCTATATCTATCCCCTCTGATTCAACATGTGTTTAAAAGTGATTTTTCCAATAGTTTATGCTGAATCATTTGTCCATTTTTTTTTCAAGCAAATGAATTTTTTAGTAGCCTCCTTTTTAGGTTTCCTCTCTCATTATCTAGTCTTGATTTTATTTTAAAAATAGTGTATTTTTCGTGCCTTTAACACTTACTTTCATTTTTTTAGTAGATAATTTTTCAAAAAAGTAATTACACTCCCGCCTACTGATCAATATTACGCGGTGAGACGAACAATCTTTCGGTTAATAATTCAGTGGTGCTTTTCGTAGACATTATTATTCTAGTAATAGACAATCGGTGGAAAGCACTGTTTAATATATGTTTCACGCTAGTCGATACTCAACAACATAGTTTATTTGTAATTTTTTGTGGAAACGTGGGTGCTTTTCCCATGTATTTCGATGCTATATCATTCAACACCGAAAACGTCACCAATGAACTATATGGGACGCCAGGATCCACCTCCTGCAAGTCCAGGATATTTGTGCTAAGTTATCACGCTTCGTGTTTCTTAGTCATGATTTCTGACCGAATTCTACTGAACAGTACAGGTGTACGATTTTTATTGAAAAATCGGGTTTACATCATAACCTTAGATTCCTATTTAAAGGATGAAGGCTAGAAATACTACTATTGTCAAAAACCAATTATCTAAACCAAAGTAGATCTCATCATAATCAAAACTAAAATTCAGTCTATGAAAAACAGAGACTCTTCATTTTCAAAACATCATTCTAGAACAAATCAATCATGAGCTTTTTTCAAAACCCTGTCGTCTAAAGTTTTCGTTCAAATCAAAAGCCTTCTCACAGTAAAAGAAGTTGATATATAGTGATGAATTCCATTCAATCGATTGTTGAACGACGATCCGTAGTGTCGCAACCTGGTCTGTGCACGATCAATTCTTACGGAATCCAGCCTGTTGATCTTGAAGTTGGACGTCTACTGTATCTTCCACTCGGTTCAACAACACTCTGTTGAAAACTTTTCCTGATACCGATAGTAGTGTGAAGCCTCTGTGTTTCTAACACTTGCTGAGATCCGCTTTCTTTGGTATCTCGATGAGATTTCCTTCTTTTCAGTCTGTCGTCACTTGTTCTTCCTCCCAAATCTTTATGAATAGAATGCGGAGCATGTTTGCAGTTACCTCTATGTCTGACTTCGATGCTTCAGGTGGTAGATTTTCAGAGCGTGCTGTTTCCCCACTCTTGATTTGTCTGATGGCCATGTTGATTTCCTCGACCGTTGTGGAATGACATCTATGGGAAGGTCTGTGTATTTTGCTTCGATGTCTGGTGAATTCAGTGAGACTGATCTTCTCAAGAGTTCTTCAAAGTGTTCTACCCATCTGTTCCTCTGTTCCTGAATCTGAGTGATTGGCATGCCTTCTTTGTCCTTGACCGGTCTCTCTGCTTTACCATATTTCCCTGACAGTTTCTTCGTTGTATCATATGGTTGTCTCACATTTCCTTCTCTTGTAGCTTTTCCCCTCTGTCATTGCTAGGTCTTGCACATATTTCCGTTCGTCGGCTCTAATGCCCTTCTTCACTTGCTTGTTTACTTTTGTGTATTGATTGTGATTCTCTTCTTCTTTATTTTGAAAAATGCTTTGATGATCCCGGATCCATCAAACTCCCACCTTTTAAGCGTTTTTCGTGCTTCTTTGGACAGCATTAGTTCAACTCACTGCGTGTGCGAAGTACTTACTTCTTCATGACCAGAGTACAACAGCATCTCTCCTGAATCCAATTTTTTCTGTTCAGTTTGGGTCCAATGGGTTTCGCTGATTCCGAGCACCGTTGAGTTGTATCTCCTGATTTCCGTAGCCATTCGATTAATCCTCCCGGGAACTACAGCAACCCTAGAAGAGCTACAGGTGTAGTTGCATACAAAGTTAGATACCTGAATTGTTCCTCTGGAAATAAGCTCAATTTAAAAGTTTTTCATTGGTTACTAACAAATTTAGCATATGAAACAAATTCTTCTTCAGTTCTTTTATCAATTCTAAGAAAATTATATCGCAAGTTAAATAAAGAAGTCTGAGTAGTGAAAATCTCTGTTAATTTTTGTACATTAGGATCAAAAGAAAAATGTTGGGCTTTTTTGGCAAGATAAGATTTTTCAAAGTGTTCTACCCATCTGTTCCTCTGTTCCTGAATCTGAGTGATTGGCATGCCTTCTTTGTCCTTGACCGGTCTCTCTGCTTTACCATATTTCCCTGACAGTTTCTTCGTTGTATCATATGGTTGTCTCACATTTCCTTCTCTTGTAGCTTTTCCCCTCTGTCATTGCTAGGTCTTGCACATATTTCCGTTCGTCGGCTCTAATGCCCTTCTTCACTTGCTTGTTTACTTTTGTGTATTGATTGTGATTCTCTTCTTCTTTATTTTGAAAAATGCTTTGATGATCCCGGATCCATCAAACTCCCACCTTTTAAGCGTTTTTCGTGCTTCTTTGGACAGCATTAGTTCAACTCACTGCGTGTGCGAAGTACTTACTTCTTCATGACCAGAGTACAACAGCATCTCTCCTGAATCCAATTTTTTCTGTTCAGTTTGGGTCCAATGGGTTTCGCTGATTCCGAGCACCGTTGAGTTGTATCTCCTGATTTCCGTAGCCATTCGATTAATCCTCCCGGGAACTACAGCAACCCTAGAAGAGCTACAGGTGTAGTTGCATACAAAGTTAGATACCTGAATTGTTCCTCTGGAAATAAGCTCAATTTAAAAGTTTTTCATTGGTTACTAACAAATTTAGCATATGAAACAAATTCTTCTTCAGGTCTTTTATCAATTCTAAGAAAATTATATCGCAAGTTAAATAAAGAAGTCTGAGTAGTGAAAATCTCTGTTAATTTTTGTACATTAGGATCAAAAGAAAAATGTTGGGCTTTTTTGGCAAGATAAGATTTGAATATTTTTTATGTTCAGTTACTCCAAGTTTCTGAAGTAGATTTCTCACCTTCGAAGTGTTACCATGATGTGTAAAATCATTTTGGAAAATTTCTTGATATCTCTTGAACCACGATTGAAATGTGATACCTGTGCCAGGATCAGAATGAAACTCGTTCATTGTATTGACTAGTGATTCGGTAGTCGAGTCCCTTGATTTGGACACCTTTGTTGAGTTTTCTTGATTTGACAACATTTGTATTATCATTTGATCATTTTCGATTGTGATGCTTGAAATTTTTTTGTGGCTGCTGCATAATTGACTTAAGCTAATCTGCTGAAATAGAAATTTTGAAATTTATTTTCGCGTGGGTTTGATGAAAATAACGTATCCAGTAACTGTTGTGATGAGTTGTGTCCGAAATCTGATACTGATACGCGGTGTGCTATGCGCTAATCCCCCAAATGACTATTTGAGCGCGAACATAAGGCATAATACTCAAACGTGTGTTTTTATAACTAAAGAGCATTACTGAAATACCCATTGATTATTTACTAAGGAAAGTATTTTACTTGGAAATAGTTACTTGTTGTTCTTATTGACATTCCTGAATGCTAAAAACAATTCTAGAGCATATTTTGTGGGTTTTTTTAAAGGGAATATCTAGATATTTTATCTCAGCCGAATTCATCCTTCACATACATCATGTTTAGGTTAGTAATAAACAATATACAGCTGAATAGCACTGAACATTCTATTCATTCTTATTTGAGACTATTCAACTGTGTTCATACATAGGCATTCAGGTCTTTTAGTGACTACAGTACCTTAAGATAATTGAGTTGGAATTCAACGGACCAAATTTCTAACATAATCCGAGTTTTGAAAAAGAGTGCTTAGTTTGTACTATAAAATGTCTGTTTTCACCGTGTGGTGTCATAATTCCTGTAAATGAATATCCTTGAAATCGAATGGATGAGTTTAAATTGTTTAATTTGTCTATTCTGGTTCGCATTTGTTTAGCAAGGTTGTTTTCTACCTGATTGTGTTGCTGATTTCAATCCCATCCTTCCTCCTATATCTGGACTTAGGATCTGCTGTTTATACATTTTGAACCCAACAATATTACACTTGCTTCTCAAAGCAAAAGAAATGGACAGTATTTCAGTCGTACCTCTTGCATTTCAAAGAACGTACTTTGATACCTCAACCCTCAGCTAAGTAATCCATGGTTTTTAGTTCTATATTCTATGTTCTGGGGAAACATAATTCAGTAATTTTTTTTACGAAGGATCTTTGATTTCCAAATTTCTGACTTAATTGCTAAAATATTGTCTAGTATGGACCAAGTAATTGGTCCAACCAATTCTTTATTGCTAGATTGACTTTTAGAAATGGATGATTGCCATTGTAATGTTTCTACCATTGATTATTTTCGCTTACGGATTCCTGAAATGTCATCGTGAGTCCGTGACCGGTGAAAGTCATACTTGTCAACCATGAGTCCGATTTCACCAGTGGGAAATGGTAATAGTCTTGTAATATTGAAAATTGACAAGAGTTAAACATAAATAAAATAATATATTTTTAATATGCCGATGAGTAGAAAATTAGATTTTCTAACGTTTAGTGACTCAGTGTAAGCCAATTCTCCAGAAAATAAATAACCAGAACAAAATTAATCTTAGTTTAAATAATACAACGAAACGACGCAAGAATATTATGTGCGATCAATCAAAACAGGTCTGAACAAGTTAATGTCATGTCATTTCGGTCTAGGTGATTTATAAGCGACATGTATGTAAATTTGTGTGTTTATGTGTGCAAGGTCAGGGATGAGAAAATGTGACCTTTATGGTGCCAAAGGATACAGTTTAATTTGTATATACGCTAACAGTACGAAATGTAAATAATGTCAGATATGGTAGCTTGAATATGTAGTCCAAGTCGGATGTATAGTTAGAGTTGAAAACGTTAACTACTCAATGCCAACTCAGTAATCTCCATGATAAGCACTCCATTCGAGTCCTGAAAGGTGTTGGGTTCATTTCCTGGTGTGGTCGTGGTCCCCAAATGCCCTGGTACGGCCGAGAGTGGGGAGAGTCCGCTCTCCCTCTCGAAATGCTCTCGAATGGCCTCTTCCAGGTAAGTCCTACTCATTGCCTTCTCTTCGCAGGGGTGTTTACGAAATTGAGAGGACGAAAAGCGAATGTCCGGCGCTTTAACCGGGATGGACATGGAGAGTCTATCTAGGGGAGTTGGAAAACCCTGATTCCAAACCACTGGTGCACATGGGCTCCAGTATCCTGAAGGAACAAATGGCGTATGAACCAATCGTTGGTCAACGGATACCATGGGACTGCATCTCCTTACGATGCTCCACTGCCTTGTGGATCAGACCTTCAGGTCGACGGCTCCGGGTGTGGCCCCGTAAGAAAACCACCTGCTTCGGTTTGGGCACGCGGGCAGTATCACAGCCCTCACACATATCAAATGTGATTTGTGTGGCGTATATGTATTTGCTGCTTCCTTGTACCAATATCTATGTGTTAAAATATATAAAATAAGTAAATAAATAAGTTCCTATACTAGGCAAAATTAGCTATCCAATGTTTCCTGGTTTAAAATGGTCGTCTAACTGAAGTAACCACATAAGGTAAAATTATATAATTTGTTATTTAAATCATATCGATATATGGCACTTTAATCGGTTTTTCATTTCGATTAAATACCGATGGATCACCTAGAAGTTTGCATGTAGAGCCCGGTAGCTTAATTATTTAAGCACTGTATCTTTGTCTCAGAATGATATTCTGTTTAATTTATATCTGTTGAGACGATCAGTGAGTATCATTGTTCTTCGTACAATAATGTGTGGTTCGATGTTTCGGTGATCAGAACACTTTACTGTCGACCATTGCAGGTTTCTGTGTGAAACTCTTCTCCATCTAATTCGATTTAAATAAATATGTATTATCAGTAGACCTCACATAAACTGTCCTGCTATATATACACGTTTATTTATTCTTATTTTAAAAATTTTTACCACTTTGTAAAATTCTTTTTTAAATAAATAAATAGATTCTCGTAATGTTTTGTTCTGATTTCTTTTTCTCTAAGCTGTGTGAATCACTGTTTTAATGTTATAGTATTTATTATCGCATAAAGAAATGTAAATGATATTGATTGGTGATAAATAAAATATGGCTATTTAGGCATTCAGGCTCTAGTGCTATCAAACTGACACTCACCTACTAGAAATATATATCTTAATTCCAATTTTACATGCATTTAGTTAATGAATTACAGTATTATGGATTTTCTTTCTACCTTTCTTGTGTATTCACACAGAACTATTAAAGTTTTACTGTACCATCACCTTGATCTCAAATCACTGGTTTTCCTTTTGTTATAATCGTTCATTGGAATACAGTGGGTTTATGAGCCAGGTAGACAACTTTCAATCATCAATTCATGTGTTTAAATAACGTCTCAGCTTGGTCAAACAGTCAGGGTATCAACTATGTTTGGGACTGACGACTAGTCGCATGAATTCGAACTCGGTCATTGTGTAGTTGCTTTACTGTCCATAGAATAATTGTCTCATGGTTTAGTCAGTCAACTTCCAGTCGTCGTGTCACCGATTCGAATCCAGTCGGACCTTGGTTTGGACAGTCAAAGTGTATCATACTATGCCTGATGCATAAAATATATGACTTCAAAATAGATACATATGTGCATATTCAATATCATTCACATTGGTTAGTTTTCCATAGTTATTTGACATAAATTAATTGTAATCATTTCAGCATTTCCATAACTGACCATACAGTCATTTGACAAATTCGTAGTAGTCTGTTTATCATATGAAAATATTAAATCCTAATAAAAGTATTGCACGATATCTTGAATTGACTGAAGTTAGACATTAACACCATTGGACCCACCTCTCAATAGTTTAGGGATTAGGGATTCGCGCACGAAGATTGGAGTCTTAGGTTTGATTCTCGGTTGCGGACCATGTTGTGGGTGCATACTGCTGAAATGTCTCATTCTAGGATGAAATCTCTGTTTCGTACTTTCAGGTTCTCAATGTTGATCTAGCTCAATTCAGTTCGTGATGTAAATTGAAAATTTTGCAACCTCCAAAAACTTCTTATACTTAAATATAACAACATGAAGTTTCTGCCATTTGGATTTTATAAAATTCATAACTGTTTAGTAAACTAGAAGCTATCTGGACTCCGTAGCTCACCGAATAATGCGTTGGCATTTGAAGCAAAAGGTACTGGGATTGAGTCCTAATGTAAACATCCACATCATGATTCAGGCGCATCCAATTCACGATTCCTCAGTAAGACGAAACGACTATCTTTGACTCCACTGTTAGCTATAATCTATTTCTTCTATCTATAGAGGAAATGGATAAAATGTAAGGAGGGAGTAGCAGTGGCATTAAAATACAGTGGGATACTAACTGTAAATAATATATATTTCGAAAGTCTTCAGCTGTAGATTAACATCATTGCACGAATCCCCTTAACTCAGAACATCTACACATAGTGTTAGAAATAAGATCTTTGACTGATTCTTGAGATATTTGTGACCAGTAGAAAGACATCTCAAACGAGTTTTTCGATTAAAAATAAATGTATTGTGTGAAAAATAATTTCTGTAATATTTTTTTCCTAGTTACCCATTAATTCGCCCAGTCGTCGTAAGTCATCCAAATCTAGTGAGGTTTGTCTTGATTCAGAACATCGTACAGTACATTTTAATCAAATGGTTAATGAAGACCATTTATCTAGTAGTAATTTATCAACCACAATTTCTTCAAATCCTCATCCATTGCATGTTGCAAGAAAAGTTAGCTTTTCTGATTTACCTTTAGTGATTAACGTCGAAGAGCGTCAACTAGACGGCTTACATCAATCCTGTATCACTACTGAGGACAAAGTTATCTACGGTGAAGATGATGATTCCGGTCATCATATTGAAGTCCGCCTACTGAATCGAGATATCGATGAAATGCCGACCTTGCCATCAGAATTGAAAAATAAACCTGTATTTGAAATAAAACTTGGAATGCTTAAACAAGCGACAGTTTATCGGACAGAATTTACAATACCGGATGATTTGAAGTCAGGTGAATTGGAAATTCTACGAACTGTTACAGAAATGGATGGTCATGTTGGTGTACCAGTTAATGTCGGTGCTTCATTTAATTTACTAAGCTGTGAACCTATCCCTTCACCTGGTCACGGTAAGACAGATGAATTAGTATCCTTTCTTTCTTTACATAATTTACTTATTATATAATAATCATTAAATGCAAAGATGGTGACTAGCAGTAAAATCCAGAACGCGCGTCTCATTCTATTTGCGACTCACCAGCTTTATGTACCTGGATATCAGAGTCGATGTTCACTCCGAGACTTGAATCCAGCCTGTTTGCTTCAAGCACCTAACGCGTCACTCACTTAGCTACTAAGTCCAGATAGCCACTGGCTTATGTAATGGGGTGAATTTTCATTCATTCATATTGTTAGTTTGGATCCTCCCATTGGTGTTTAGGACTGCTATTGATCAGTCTCCTTTGACATATGTGCGTCCTGTGTGGTTTACTTCGGTATTTCTATTCAGTCACAAGCAGATTTAGGTTTCAGATTTTCATTACTCTTAGGAACAATCGCTTTGCCAATATTTTAATGGTAATAAATACCATTACTGTTGTATGGTGATTTGGATTAGTTTGGATATATAAAGAAATTTACACTTCTTCCACGCCTTACTTCCTGCGTATCTAAGCTGTCGCTCAACTATTTAAAAATTATCTCTAACCGTATTTGTGGGTTTCAAATATACTCCCATTTCCAAACAGCCTGAATGGAACACTGAAGTAGGTCCCCCAACTCTCGTTGAATTTCAAAAAGCTATAACTAATCTGGAATGAGGAAGAGCAGTTGGTCTAGATGGATTGGCTCCAGAGGTCTTTAAGGATGGTGGTCTAGTTTTAGTGATTAGGTTGACTAATATTTTAGCTAAAATGTGGAAACTGAATGTAATTCCATCTAACTGGTCGTAATCACTGATTGTCGCAATATATGAGAAGGGGTCAAAATCACCATGTGATAATCATAGCATCTAAAATACTAGCGTCAATAGTTGTCGGATGCCTAACTAAGACTCATGAACTGCAAACACGAAATCAGGCTGGCTTCAGATCTGGTGGTGATTGCATCGACCACATATTCACCATTCGCCAGATTTTGGAACACAAGCATGTTTATCGGTGTTGCACAACTATAGTTTTTCTTGACTTAAAAGCACCATTTGACTGTATAGACCGCAAGATTCTGTAGCACTGTTTGTCATTGAAAGGTGTACCTCAAAAGTACATTAACCTTGTGAAGGCTCCTTACTCGAACAGTACCAGTCGAGTCAGAGCTAATGGCGAACTGTCATCTGCTTTAGCAACCTCAAGTGCTCGCATCTGCTGAGATCAACGGGTAATTAATGGTGAGGTTAGACGCAGAATATTAGGGAATGATGGTAAATCAGTTGATGATTTTGTGAATCTTCATCGACTGAGATGGTTGGGCCACATGTTACGTATGCCTGAACACCGATTACCACGACGTGCAATGCTAATCGGTGTTCGGGATGATTGGAAGAAAGTTAGGCGTGGTCAAACCAAAACGTGGCATCAGTCCTTGAAGCCACTAACTTCCAGTCTGAGCCATGTTGGTAGATGCAGACTACTTGGTTGGGGTCCGCGTGACTATCGTATCCAATTGTTGGATACTCTGGATGACATGGCTCAGAATCGATCACAAAGATGTTGGTGTTTACACTGTTTGCCTTCCCTTAAAACATGAGGTTGAATTACTTTATACTTTTCTACTAAATAATTCGTTCTCCCTATATTATGTCCTTATATGCAATCTTTCTTTTATATATTACTGCCACTGAAGTAACTGCTTCTATGAATATGGTGTTCGTCTTGTTGTGCTAATATAGTGTGGCAACTTGGAACGATGCATATATATATACACCTGGTCCTACGCTGATTGACTGACCTACCCAGATCGATTTTAATGGGAAGTTGTAATTTGTACAGTTAAATAGTTAATCATAATCGACATATCAAGCCTGTCAATTTTTCTCGTTGTCAAATTTACCACATCACATTAGCAAAACGTGACGAATTGCAAAATCAATCAAAGTAATATAGTAGTGAGAATAACGTGAACTACTGACTATTGAGGAACTGTCTTGAAATGGCGATAAAAGGGTTTACATGAGTGTCGTGGATTTCACGATTGAAAGGAAGATAAATTGTGAATACGTCTACACCATTGTGAACGATTCAGAGCCATGTCATCTAAAGTTTCTAACCAGTGATCGTGGTTATTATGTGGACCTCAACCAGTTAGTCTGCATCTACCAACATGGCTCAGACCAACACTCAGTGGCTTCATGAACTGATGCCATGTTTTGGTTTGACCTCCCCTAACTCTGCCAACGTACTCTTAAAGCATCAGGCATCGCTTGCTGAAGTAGGCAATGATTAGGCATAGGTAACACATGTTCTAACCATTTCAATCGATTAGGATTTTTGCGTATCAGGTTTGTTGCATTTATTTTACAGTCAATTATTGAATGAAAAGGTTAACTACAGTTTGTTCCCTCTGTGAGTGTGTTTTCTGTATGTTACCATGTTGATCCATTTGTTTTCTCTAGTTTGCTTAATTTTTCATTATTCTGGTCATATAGGTCATATAATAATTATGGAGATTTCAACTACAAAACAATCACGTGTCAATGAGTTAATCACATTACGTCGAGTCGAAAATATAACAGATGCTGTTTGTCTACTGTTGCGTGGTATTTCTTTAGGTAAGTTAGATTAATTCACATTTTTCCACTCATACACTTTAAAAATATCTAAATTTACTGGTTCAATGAATATTATATATACTGTGTAATTTGAAGAAAATTTTTATTATTAAATTGCATCAATTAGGAAACTACTAAGTTTGTTTATGCGGCCTAGTATTCTTAGACACTTCACTCCACTCGATCGGTTTTCAAATCAAAACACTACTTGAACATAACGTAAATATATTCCAAAGCAAAACGGCAAGTGACAAAATCCCAATGCGTGTCTAAACTGTACGCAGTATTCCAGAGTGTCAGCCCTAGGTGGGAATGATTCAGACGTTTTCAGTTTCATCTCAGCCCTTAAACAATATCGTTATTTGGTGCATTTTATATCACTCACGAATTTGTTGACTTCATTGATCGAGATCTTTTCCACATATAAAAGTATATAAATCCATCTGAATATTAGTCGTTAGTGTAGGCATAGAATTATTTCTGACATTGAGTCTACCTATGAAGAGACCATTTTTAGTTTGAAAATGTACATTTGATATATGAGGACTGGCTGTGAATTATAGAACACTTACTTATTTATGCCTGTTACTACTCGAGGAGGACCATAGGACACCTATCAGGATTCGCCATCGAAACCTGTCCTAGACAATCCTTTCCAGTTGCTATTCTTCCCTTCCTTGTCTACCTCCAATTCCTGATGCAATGTGTTCTTTGACCTTCCTCTTCTACCCTTGCCTTCAGGATTCCAAGTTAGTGCTTGCCTCATGATGCAGTTTGGTGATTTCTTCAATGTATGTTCCATCCGCATCCAACATCTTTTCCTAATTTCCTCTTCAACTGGAAGCTAGTTTGTTCTCTCCCATAGTAGGTTGTTGCCTATAGCATCCGGCAAACAGACATTGAGTATCTTGCGTAGACAACTGTTTATAAATACCCTTGCCTTTTTGATGATAGTTGTAGTAGTTCTTCACGTTTCACCTCTGTGTAATAGAACTGCATTGACGTTCGTATTGAAGATTCTGACAGTTGTTTTTAGTCCCATATGCTCTTCGATTGTAGAAATACTGCCCTTGATTTGCCGATTCATGCATTAACATCTGTATCATATCATCCTTGTCTGTCGATGATGCTGATTAGATACGTGAAAGCTTCTATCCCTTCCAGAACTTCTCCATCAAGTGTGACTGCGTTGGTGCTCTCTGTGTTGTATTTGAGGATCTTGCTTTTCCCTTGTGTATGTATGTAATGCATTCAATCACTAGAGGAAAGAGAAAGGGAGAGAGTAGACAGCTTTGTCCGACACTGATTCTCAATTGGAATGCATGTGTCACATATTCTCCATGCACGACTTTGAAGTGTAATCCGTCATATGAATTCCGTATGATGTTGACGATCTTCTCAGACACACCATAATGTCGAAGTAGGTTCCTTAAGTTCCTCCTATCCACACTGTCAAGAGTTTTCTCATAATCAAGGAAGTTGATGTATAGTGACGAATTCCATTCAATCGAATGTTGAACGACGATCCGTAGTGTCGCAACCTGGTCTGTGCATGGTCGATTCTTACGGAACCCAGCCTGTTGATCTTGAAGTTGGACGTCTACTGTATCTTCCACTCGGTTCAACAACACTCTGTTGAAAACTTTTCCTGATACCGATAGTAGTGTGAAGCCTCTGTGTTTCTAACACTTGCTGAGATCCGCTTTCTTTGGTATCTCGATGAGATTTCCTTCTTTTCAGTCTGTCGTCACTTGTTCTTCCTCCCAAATCTTTATGAATAGAATGCGGAGCATGTTTGCAGTTACCTCTATGTCTGACTTCGATGCTTCAGGTGGTAGATTTTCAGAGCGTGCTGTTTCCCCACTCTTGATTTGTCTGATGGCCATGTTGATTTCCTCGACCGTTGTGGAATGACATCTATGGGAAGGTCTGTGTATTTTGCTTCGATGTCTGGTGAATTCAGTGAGACTGATCTTCTCAAGAGTTCTTCAAAGTGTTCTACCCATCTGTTCCTCTGTTCCTGAATCTGAGTGATTGGCATGCCTTCTTTGTCCTTGACCGGTCTCTCTGCTTTACCATATTTCCCTGACAGTTTCTTCGTTGTATCATATGGTTGTCTCACATTTCCTTCTCTTGTAGCTTTTCCCCTCTGTCATTGCTAGGTCTTGCACATATTTCCGTTCGTCGGCTCTAATGCCCTTCTTCACTTGCTTGTTTACTTTTGTGTATTGATTGTGATTCTCTTCTTCTTTATTTTGAAAAATGCTTTGATGATCCCGGATCCATCAAACTCCCACCTTTTAAGCGTTTTTCGTGCTTCTTTGGACAGCATTAGTTCAACTCACTGCGTGTGCGAAGTACTTACTTCTTCATGACCAGAGTACAACAGCATCTCTCCTGAATCCAATTTTTTCTGTTCAGTTTGGGTCCAATGGGTTTCGCTGATTCCGAGCACCGTTGAGTTGTATCTCCTGATTTCCGTAGCCATTCGATTAATCCTCCCGGGAACTACAGCAACCCTAGAAGAGCTACAGGTGTAGTTGCATACAAAGTTAGATACCTGAATTGTTCCTCTGGAAATAAGCTCAATTTAAAAGTTTTTCATTGGTTACTAACAAATTTAGCATATGAAACAAATTCTTCTTCAGTTCTTTTATCAATTCTAAGAAAATTATATCGCAAGTTAAATAAAGAAGTCTGAGTAGTGAAAATCTCTGTTAATTTTTGTACATTAGGATCAAAAGAAAAATGTTGGGCTTTTTTGGCAAGATAAGATTTTTCAAAGTGTTCTACCCATCTGTTCCTCTGTTCCTGAATCTGAGTGATTGGCATGCCTTCTTTGTCCTTGACCGGTCTCTCTGCTTTACCATATTTCCCTGACAGTTTCTTCGTTGTATCATATGGTTGTCTCACATTTCCTTCTCTTGTAGCTTTTCCCCTCTGTCATTGCTAGGTCTTGCACATATTTCCGTTCGTCGGCTCTAATGCCCTTCTTCACTTGCTTGTTTACTTTTGTGTATTGATTGTGATTCTCTTCTTCTTTATTTTGAAAAATGCTTTGATGATCCCGGATCCATCAAACTCCCACCTTTTAAGCGTTTTTCGTGCTTCTTTGGACAGCATTAGTTCAACTCACTGCGTGTGCGAAGTACTTACTTCTTCATGACCAGAGTACAACAGCATCTCTCCTGAATCCAATTTTTTCTGTTCAGTTTGGGTCCAATGGGTTTCGCTGATTCCGAGCACCGTTGAGTTGTATCTCCTGATTTCCGTAGCCATTCGATTAATCCTCCCGGGAACTACAGCAACCCTAGAAGAGCTACAGGTGTAGTTGCATACAAAGTTAGATACCTGAATTGTTCCTCTGGAAATAAGCTCAATTTAAAAGTTTTTCATTGGTTACTAACAAATTTAGCATATGAAACAAATTCTTCTTCAGGTCTTTTATCAATTCTAAGAAAATTATATCGCAAGTTAAATAAAGAAGTCTGAGTAGTGAAAATCTCTGTTAATTTTTGTACATTAGGATCAAAAGAAAAATGTTGGGCTTTTTTGGCAAGATAAGATTTGAATATTTTTTATGTTCAGTTACTCCAAGTTTCTGAAGTAGATTTCTCACCTTCGAAGTGTTACCATGATGTGTAAAATCATTTTGGAAAATTTCTTGATATCTCTTGAACCATGATTGAAATGTGATGCAGAATTATGTGATAATAAAGAAAGATATGAATTGAGGAAAAACGACAATGATATAATGAAATTTCAGAAAGAGTTGAAATAATGAATGACTCAATAAAAAGGATGTAACGTTACCAGGGCAAAGAAAGATTTTTTACTTCTTCTTTTTGGATAAATAGATCTGGTTTTAGACGTTTGATCGATATCGCTTCGGCAGATTTTGGAAGATTGGAGTTTGATTGTTTATTAATCACCTTGAAGGGCTTCAGTGTATCGACCTGATGTCATGTTCCAAGATGTCTTGAGATTGCACTGCTGAATGCTTCTAATTCATTTGACCTCGGAGTTTTCAGAATATGTTCTTTGAATCGGACGTAGACTCTCCTTCCTGTTGTACCAATGTAACTGCTTTGGAAGATACATGTGATTTTGTATACATAGTTGGTGGTAATATGAAAGGAATACCTATCGACCTTTGTGTCAAAGAACATGTTGTTTTGGATAGGACAATCAGTTTAGCTGCCGGATAGGTTCTTGTCGATGCAGTTTTTAGCCTCACACTGATTGACACTGTCACATCATCACCTTTGAATTGAAGTTGAATAAAAATAGGTTTTTTTGTTTACTGTAGTTTCTTTAGGTCTTTTATCTTCATGTTTTGTATATTTCTCAATGAATTTCAGGGGTATCCGTTGTTTCTTAAACACTTATTAACATTTATTCTTTCCTATTCTAGCGTATCGGCAGAACATATACTTTTTGTTCTGTGTAATAGTGTTTTAACAAGTGCCTTTTTGTAACTGATTGGACAAAAGCTATTGAAATAGAGATAAATCTCATTCCATGTGTCTTTCCTGTAAACTGGACGTTGAACTGTGCCATCCTCCCTTCGTTTTATTGCGATATCGAGAAGATGGAACTTGTTTTCATTTTTATGTTCCATAGTAAACTAGATATTTTTATGGGCTTCATTGAAAAGTTTCCACAGATTTGTTGCATGTTGTTGATTATTACAGACGATGAAGGTGTCCTCAACATACCTCAAATAATACACCACTTCGTCAATCGCGGGGGCGGCCAAACCAAAATGTGGCATCAGTGCTTGAAGTCACTAACTTCCAGTCTGAGCCATGTTGGTAGATGCAGACTACTTGGTTGGGGTCCGCGTGACTATCGTATCCAATTGTTGGATAGTCTGGATGACATGGCTCAGAATCGATCACAAAGATGTTGGTGTTTACACTGTTTGTCTTCCCTTAAAACATGAGGTTGAATTACTTTATACCTTTCTACTAAATAATTCGTTCTCCCTATATTATGTCCTTATATGCAATCTTTCTTTTATATATTACCACCTCTGAATTAACTACTTCTATGAATATGGTGTTCGTCTTGTTGTGCTAATGAAGTGTGGCAACTTTTAACAATGAATATATGTGCCTGGTCCTGACCGATTTTTCGTTCTTAACTTATCTGTTATTCATCATGCAACCTGATGTTATGGTGAATTGACCATTGTCAGAATAGGTCTAAGAGGAATACCTTGTTTTTATGTCTTTGGCAAACCATTAATGTGCGGCAAACAAAATCCACAAGGTTGTATTTTAATGTAAGCGGAATCATCGACCATTCTCAGGAGATCTCTGAGTACATTCGTGTTTCTTTTCTCAACTGAATCAGTTATGTCCTTGTTAATTTTATATACATTAAAAGATTCATTTGAATTTACCAACAGTATGAACCATGTAAATATTTTTGGTAATTTTATGATTTCCTTTGATGTGACATCGATTTGAGACTGATTTAAATCATCAATAGCTCATACTCTATCTTGCTTACAGTTTAGTTTTTTAATGTCTGTTCATCTTTTCTTTGTAATAAACGAAAACACGTTCTTTGCTTTTGAAATATATAATACAAGCTAAAGGACAAGGTACTCCACTTCTACGTTCTGGTATACATCGAATTACTGAGAATCAAGATTATATTGATTCGGATGATTATACTGAATGGCCTGGTTATGTGAATACAGAGGATGATGATGACCAGGAGGAAGAAAGTTGTGGTGTGGAGAAGGCGAAAACTACTCTTGTGGCAACTGAGAATATCGATGCTAATCAAGGTGATGATAATGACGATGAATCACCGTAGAATTTATTATCATTATTACTATTATTATTATTATTATTATTATTATTATTATTATTATTATTATTATTATTATTATTATTATTATTATCTATCCAATATTGTTTTCTCTCCCCGATGTTTATTTTGTATTTTTCTTTCGGGTGTTAGTTTTCGTTTTGTTGTTATATCTTATTCGGTGCATATAATTGTCCGTTGCTTTTCTCTAGTCAAGCAATTCTAACTCATTCCTTTTGACTGATCCCGTAATTGTTTTTTTTCGCACATTGTTCATTTATTTTGCCTCAATCTCTTTGTCTGTCTTGTTCGCTTACTACTTCCTTTGTTTTACTGTAGCTCGACATTCGCACGCAATCACATTCTTTGTTGCTAAGTATCGATCTGTGCACGATGACGACTTATGACAAGAACTCACCTAGATACTTTTCTTTCTAAATACTGTTTTTTTTCGATGTTAAAAAAAATGATAATATTTATGGTAATTAAAACATGTTACAAATACTTTGTCCCTATCCCCTTTTAGTTTGTTTATAGGTTTTGTCTTATCTATTTTCGTGTAAGTACTGATTGACTGATTGTCGGCCAAGTAGTTGTAAAACTTTCAACCTTATCAGTTATTGGTTTAAACAGCTGAGACGATAAGATCAGTATTTTAACGTTTACAACAAAATAGAGATGTATTATTCTCATAAGCTGTCTGCTATCGAGTAGTATTACTATGATAAATTCTGAATTACTAAAGTACAAACACTGAATTTTTTTATATAAAAAAACTACATACACACAGACAATGTCAATATTTTTTAGAGTTAATCAATTATTGTTCTATATAGATATGTACATGCTTATTTTTTTGAGAATAATGTACCATTGACTGATACGATCACTGCTAATATTACTATGACAACTAACATTTCTTTTTCTTTATGAGAATTCGTGATCTTATGTTAAATACTGTTCAGTCTCCATTTTTTAAAATAATAACTGCAATAATAAATAATATGATAATAATAATACTAATACTAATATTTTTATTTCTCAAAAAGCTTCGGTATACCTCCTTTTGTCCAATGCACTCGAAATATTCTCAACAATTTATCATTTGCCTTTCTCGAATTGTAGATCATGATAGGCAAAATACTCCCATATGATGCGTTCTTTTCCCTCATTCTTTCTTTGGTACCAATTTTTTTCATAATTCTGCATTACTCCTTGTCAATATTTTCAACCACTATTCCTTTCGATTACTTTCCCTCTACAACATACTTTTATAAAATTCCTCTTCGCATATTCATATATAACTACTACTATTACTATTGCTATTACTACTACTAAAGAACTCGCCACATGGGATTTTGTAGCCGACGGTACGTTTTGAAAAGTGTGGAACTGACACATGAAGAATCACTCAGAATACTCTCGTGTGTAACCTACCTTAAGCGTTTGTTCTTTGATGGAGTCAGTGGATGTTACCATTCGTCCGAGATGTCAAGCAGCCTAGCTGTACTTTTAAGTATCTCAGGAAGTAGTACGCTATGAAGGTGTTTGCAACCAGAAATTAGCAATGCATGTACACCGATCGTATGAGTTCAATCTTGTTATAAGTAAAACGTGATGGGTCGTGTTTGCAAAGTATCATCACTAATTGATTTAAGTTGGAAATCTGAACCACTATTTACCTGTTCATTGATCTAAGTATAGCGTCTGTAGTGAGTAATTGACTGTCCCTCTTGGTTTTAAATTATTCAATCCACATATACTTGACAAAATACTGATCATTACGTATTGCTTGTCTTTTATACTGTAGACAGAGATGTATTATATAGTTAGATCAATACTAAATATAGCAGACCATACATTTTTAAACATTAATTCACAAAATAGGGGAAGGGGTGTGTGAAAAATGAAGGTACTGAACGATGGAAAAATATTTCTGGAAACATACTATGACAAGCAACAATAATTGGGGTAAATTATTTGTATTCATATGTTCTGTGTAGGTCAGTTGCACCCCACTTGTTACGCTATTTGTTTAGTTACAACCACCATCACGGATTGAGTTAAGACAACCGTTGGAAAAATCAATAAGTATTGAGCACGTGTTTTATCGTAGTATGTGACCACTTAGTGCTTCGGGTCAGGAGTCAAACTCGTGAATTTCAGTCTTTGCGGTGAGCACTCATTCAGTCAGTCAGCTACAATGTAGGATCAGGCACATATATGCATCGGTCCAAGTTGCCATACATCATTAACACAACAAGACGAACACCATATTCATAGAAGTAGTTAATTCAGAGGTGGTAATATATAAAGAGAAAGATTGCATATAAGGACATAATATAGGGAGAACGAATTATTTAGTAGAAAGGTATAAAGTAATTCAACCTCATGTTTTAAGGGAAAACAAACAGTGTAAACACCAACATCTTTGTGATCGATTCTGAGCCAAAAGTAGACAAACAGCATCTGTTATATTTTCGACTCGACGTAATGTGATTAACTCATTGACACGTGATTGTTTTGTAGTTGAAATCTCCATAATTATTATATGACCTATATGACCAGAATAATGAAAAATTAAGCAAACTAGAGAAAACAAATGGATCAACATGGTAACATACAGAAAACACACTCACAGAGGGAACAAACTGTAGTTAACCTTTTCATTCAATAATTGACTGTAAAATAAATGCAACAAACCTGATACGCAAAAATCCTAATCGATTGAAATGGTTAGAACATGTGTTACCTATGCCTAATCATTGCCTACTTCAGCAAGCGATGCCTGATGCTATAAGAGTACGTTGGCAGAGTTAGGGGAGGTCAAACCAAAACATGGCATCAGTCCATGAAGCCACTGAGTGTTGGTCTGAGCCATGTTGGTAGATGCAGACTAACTGGTTGAGGTCCACATAATAACCACGATCACTGGTTAGAAACTTTAGATGACATGGCTCTGAATCGTTCACAATGGTGTAGACGTATTCACAATTTATCTTCCTTTCAATCGTGAAATCCACGACACTCATGTAAACCCTTTTATCGCCATTTCAAGACAGTTCCTCAATAGTCAGTAGTTCACGTTATTCTCACTACTATATTACTTTGATTGATTTTGCAATTCGTCACGTTTTGCTAATGTGATGTGGTAAATTTGACAACGAGAAAAATTGACAGGCTTGATATGTCGATTATGATTAACTATTTAACTGTACAAATTACAACTTCCCATTAAAATCGATCTGGGTAGGTCAGTCAACCAGCGTAGGACCAGGTGTATATATATATGCATCGTTCCAAGTTGCCACACTTTATTAGCACAACAAGACGAACACCATATTCATAGAAGCAGTTACTTCAGTGGCAGTAATATATAAAAGAAAGATTGCATATAAGGACATAATATAGAGAGAGTCGTCTAACGTCCTCAACTCGGAGAGGCCAGGTTTCACAAGCATAGAGCAAAACTGCTCTCACCGACGCGTTGTAGATCCGACCTTTTACAACCAGACTAACATCACGAAGGCGCCATAGATGGGCCAGATTGGCATAAGCCGCTCTGGCTTTCACCATTCGTGCATTGATCTCATCACTCACACCCCCACCAGCACTTATGCAGCTACCCAGATACACGAACTTCTCGACTACGTCTATCTGCTCACCATCCAGGGTGAGTACAGGATTAGAATCCTGCCAGTCTTGTAGGAGTACTTTGCACTTCGAAGGTGCAAAGCACATACCATACCTACGGACACTGATTGCCAACTGATTAAGTGCGGATTGCATGGTTTGGGCATTATCGCACAGTAACACAATATCGTCCGCATACTCAAGGTCGAGAAGTCTTTCTCCAGGCAACAGATCCACACCACCACTACTTACATTCATCAGAGCTGTTTCCAGAATGTCATCGATGGCAAAGTTGAAGAGGAATGGTGAGATTGGGCAACCCTACCTAACCCCACTACTCGAATGGAACAATGGAGAGAGGTGGTTGTATGCCCTCACTCTGCCTGAGGTGTTTTTTTATAGGGCTTTCAGGATGTTAATAAACTTCTCAGGCACACCCTTCTTCAATAGACAATCCCAGAAAACAGTCCTGTCCAACGAATCGAAGGCAGCCCTGATGTCAAGAAACACTACGATTGTTGGCCTTTGATAAGTATAGCGATGTTCTAACATTTGGCGGAGGGTGAAGATATGATCAATACATCCTCGACCAGAACGAAACCCAGCCTGCTCCTCGCGAGTCAATCTTTCTCGTGTTTTGAACAACCTACGAAGAATGACGGAAGCCAATAGCTTGGACGCAATCGGAAGTAGACTTATCCCCCGATAGTTGTTACAGGAACGACGTGAACCCTTTTTAAAGATAGGGACAACTATCGACTCATTCCATGACGTTGGTACACTCTCTAGATCCCAAACCTTTGTAAACAACGTCGTCAATTCCTTAGTCAAAAAGTCACCACCATCTTTAAAAAGAGCCGGAGGTAAGTCATCTGGGCCAGGTGATTTGTAACGCTTCAAGAGTTGGAGTTCCTTGCGGACTTCCTCCTCATTTGGTGGATCAGTCGTCACCGGCCATGGAAGGCAGGACAGTCTGACCGATGTTGCCGGAGCAGCAGGCCAGTTGAACTGCCCTTCGAAAAATTCTGCCCATCGTCCAAGACGTCGATGGATGTTAGTGATTGGCATCCCATCATCCTCGCAGATTGTTTCACTCACACCAGACTTCTTGCTGCCAGTGGCTCGGATGAGCTGGAAGAGCTTCCGGTAGTTACCAGATGTAGCTGCTGCTTCCAGCTCATTAGCACGCTTCGACCACCAGGCTTCTCGGTCCTTACGCAAGCTTTGCCCAATTTCCTTACGTAACATCCTTCGTTTATGGTCAAACTCACGGTCACCCGGAGTAGACCGACGGGCTTCAATGAGTTGTAAGGAACCAGAAGAAACCCAGTGCTTAAAAGCGGGACGTTTCGCAAACCCACAACTGACTGTTCCCGCCATTTTCATGGCGTCATGCAATTGCAACCAATGCTCATC